CCTGGCACTTTAGGGCCTGTCCTTAGCCAAGGCACAGATGCCCCTTGCTGAGGACCTGGGAGGAATCCTCTCCATGGGAAGCCCCAGTCAGATGTGTCTTGGCTGCAGGGCCCAGGCAGCTGGCCAAGAAGGGCCGGAAATGCTCCAAATACTCTCCTTCCTCCAATAGCTAAAGGGAGGGAGGCCCCCTCAGAGAGGCCATTTTCTAGTGATAGCCAGACGAAATCCTTTCTGTGGGGGATGGGAGATGGAGGAGAATAAAGTACGTCTAAGGGATGAACCAAGAAAGCATCCTTCTACATGAATGGGCTTGTTAACCTCCAGTAGGCTGAGAGCTTGTCTTCTGCTGAGTCCTAGGCGATATGTACGGCGTTCCTTTGCTGGGACACGAAGCTGTGTTGTTGGCAACAGTGATAGCTAAACCTGACCTTCAGAAGAAGGTTAAAAATAGTATTGTCCTGGCAAAGCCAGTCTTCATCTGTGCGCATGTACATGCACATGCACAGGCTTCTTAAGAGGCACAGACAAATAAGTGTCCCCATCTGGTATTTCTTGGAGGCAGTGGTGGTAGACACAGGGGAGAGGGCATCATTTATTTCAAGTGAAACAGCCTCTCACCTGCTTTACTGTTATTTGCAGAATAGCCCAAGAGTTGCAAGCTGGAAAACAACTTTTGTACTGGATTTGGGAGAAGGTATAGGGGTTGTTTGGACTTTTTTGAAACCTGCTCATGATCAGAGTTCCTCTGTCACCTTTCATCTACTTTCTTGAGCTTCAACCACATGCCGGGGTGGGAGGCCCCTGACTTCCTTTCGTTGGCCCCGTCGAATGAGGCCCTCAGTGTTGTCAGGTAGTGGTCATCTCTCCTTAGATAGTTACGGAAATGAGCACATTTACCTTTAGTTGGCACAGTACATTACAGACAATAAGTTTTGTTTATCATTTCAGTCAGGAGTCAGGTCTTGCTGTTATCCCAACTAATGGATGAGGACACTGAGGCTTAAAGAGGCTGTGTGCCTGAGTCAGTAACTGGCAGAGCCTGGACCCTAACCCAGGTGATCCTGAGTGGGGGATACCTCTCAGGTCCCCCCTCTCTTTACACCCTGCCTCAGTAGGAGGCCTTGCAGTAGTGAACTAACTGGAGGGGTGGCCTGGCTTCTCTGTTCTTAGTCACTTGCACACTTTCTTCTTAAGCCAGAGCTGCCCCCATTGGCTCTGTGCTGGTTCTCTCCAATATGCAGCCCCAAGCCAGATGTTTGGAGCAGGGAGTGTAGGGCTGGGTATCCACAAAACAGGTAGCAGTAGGATGAAGGAGGGAGAACAGCTGGTTCTGGGGCTACATGGCACCCACTGGAATCCTGTCCTCCCTCAGGGAAATTGTGCAGTGAAATCCTCACAGGCTTGTAAATCGTGTGTCCTCCTGGTGAGGAGGGGCCAAGCCCCTCCCCATCATACACGGAGGGTGGGAGTAGCCTGCACCTGGCTGTCAGGGACACAATGCTGCGTTCTGGCTGACAGGAGTCCTTTGAAAGGCTCTTTGACACAAGTTTCAGATCCCACTCTGGTGTGTGTTCCCCACTGAGCAAAGCAGGTCTTGGACCAAAACTCTGGCTCCCGCTCCTTCCCCATCCCATCCCCCATTGTCTTGATCTCCCCGAGGTAACTGCCAGGGAAAGCAGGTGCAGGGCTGGGGTGTGGGTGAGGCAAACCCTGGAATGGAATTCCAGAGCCTCGTACTGTTTTACCCCTTGCACTTTTCATGGCCTGCCCAAGAGGACAGCAAAGAAGAGGGGCTAGGCTGACTCTTTGCTGGCCCAGCTTAGAGAGGAACACAGCAAACGTTCTTGAGAGTGCCCCACGACCTCCCAGTTGTGGCAGGAGTAAACACACAGGTGACCCTGAGCTGTTGGGGGCCCTAGGTTAAAGGAGACCTGGGTTTAAATCCTGGCTCTGCTGTCCTGCTCTGTGTAACCTTGAGTGAGTTACTTAACCTCCCTGTGCTTTAGTTTCCCTTCTGGAAAATGGGGGACTAGTGCCTACAGATGGGTTTTAAGTGAGGATTAAATGAGGTGATGATGCCAAGTGTCTTAACGCAGGCCGGCACTTCCTCGGTGCTCAGTAAACATGACCGAGGCCCAGAAAGACTAAGCGGTTTGCCTCTGGTGCTCAGCTCCTTCAGAGCCCACCTTCATCTTCGCACACACTGGCACCCTTTCTGCGCCGAACTCTGGGCTATTGCGAACTAGCGAAGAGTTCCACAGGCCTGGAGGCCCCTGGCGTCATTCACACAGACAGTGAAAGTTATTGAGCACCCACTGCATAGAGAGCTGGAGGCTGATGAATGAACCGGGTTGAGGCCGTTGCAGGCCCTGTCAGGAGACAGCCATGTTGAGAGAAGGCTGAAGAGGCCCTGAGGAATTCTTAGTGGCAGTGTTTGTAAAGGTAAAGAGGACAGACAACCTGGAGAAGGATTGAAGGAAGTGGGGCCCCAACCGGGAAAAGAGTAGTGAGTCTGGGGTATTGACTTGCTGTTAATGGGTCTGGGGTACCTTCCCAGGCACCACCGCTCTATGCTCTGCTCTGAGCACCAGCCCCCGAGGTCAAGGCATTTGTGGTCTCTGAGGCCCAGGGTCTGCCCTGGTCACATTGTGTTTTTGAAAGATTCTCATCCCCTGCAGAGCCCAAACCAAGCTGAGTTGGCCCCCAGCCCCACCTTGCCAAGAAGTTCCCTAAGACTGAAGCACTTCTGCCTGTTGGGCCTCCCCATGGACACCAATGAGGCCTCTCTGTGGCCCCAGCCAGCTGCCCTTCACCTCCTAGCCTCTCAGGATTACTCAGCCTTCACAGTGTCTGTCACTAAGATGCTGAGTGCGTTCTTGATGGCCTCTCTTAAGGAAAGGCTCAGCTGTGTGGCCTTTTAAGAAAGGCTCAGTGGCTGGGTTAAGCCTCTGATTGTGGTTCTGCGTGAAGAAACCATAAACCAAAGGAAAAGCAAAGGTTCAGCTTTTTGGAGCTTTATGTCAGCGTCTGCTTGAATCCCTGGGTTTGGAATTGAATGTGGGTCATACAAGCAGGTGGAGAAGCTGTCTTCTCCCTCTGGTTTCTGCATAGATTACTGTGAATAGGAAAAATCAAAGGAGCCTCCTGCTAAGTGCTGGCTGTGCTCTAACGTTTGTCTCCTTGATACAGAGGCCTTGGGTGGAAGTCCCCAATGTACTTTCTTCCTAACAAAATCCCCAGTCCCCGGAAATCTTGGTTCTTCCACCAGGGCCAAGAGCTTGACGGTAATATCCAGGTTTTTAGGGTGATTGCTGGGGAGGCCTGATCATTTTCTAAAAGCTTTCTAATGGTCATACCAGTTTCAAGGGAGCTGGTCTAACCCAGGGAGAGGAGAGAGAGAGCTTTGGGGGACCCACTGACCGACCAGGGATCCCCTCTCTGCACTGCAGGAATCCCTCCACCTTTCTGTTGGGGCAGAGCTAAGTCAGTGGCACTGGGGCCGGGCTGACTGCCATGTGACTGACTGACTACCCGTGGTCCTGGGGAATAGAGTTTGGTTTTCTCCCTTCCTCTCTAGGGACATAGGCAGCCCAGTAACTGGGTGTTAAACGGCTCTTCCATCACCTCATCTGCACAGGCCACTTTGGTGGTGCGGTGCGTGCTGTGAGGACTTGGGGGAGTTTCTGAGTGGCCCCCACTGCATTGCTTTCCCCTTCCCTGACAGCAGGAACAACACAGGGAAAGTTGTCTTCAGTGCCACATACCCTTTGGCCTTTTTTCCGCCACAAAGACATTGGCCTTTCCAGTATTTATTTTTCTGCACAGTTTACCATGTGCTTCAAAGTGGAATGGGTTAGGTTTAATCCTCAGGCCCATCGCCCACACAGGCCCGGGGAGAGGAGACCTGTGGCTGAGGACCATTCTGGCCGCGGTTGTGTGGCGCCACCTCCTGGCCACAGCACCCACAGTGTTTTCCAACTCTGATCAACAGATCAGGAGTTGCCAGAACCGTTCATCTAAAAACCTAAAGGAACTTGGAAAAGATGCTATATTCTGAAGTCATTTCTGGTTCATCCTTTAATGCCCATAGCTTTTTGTATCAACTTGGCCTTTCTGGGGCTGCCTTGCCAAGCCTTCTATTAAAATACCTTTTTGAGGGCATGAGTGGGGGGCTTGGGGAGCAATGGGGAGATAAGGACACATATGTAATACCTTAGTAAAAAAATAAAAATGGTAATAAATAAATAAGGGGGGGCGGGGAAACACCTTTGTATTTCCAAAGCCTGAATTATCAAGGAAGGACTGAACAGCAACAGTCTGGAAACAGGGACCTCAAACTAGAACCCAGCACTAGATTAACCCCAACCCAAGGGGTTAACCTGCCTCTGGTTTAAGATTAGAGGAGGGGAGTATTATGAAAAGTGGCTGCAGTGTGGGAGGAGACAAGGGTATGAACAAAGTACATACTAGCTTTTTCTTCGGGGCTGCGGCTCTTCTGTTCTCTAGTCAGCTGTATCTAGTCTGGGCTCAGTTCTGCTGCCACTGACCCAGCAGCTAGGGAAGCTGACCCTGAACAGAACCACAGCTCCACTAACTTGAAGGGAAGGGGTCCAGTTTACTTACCTAGAATGGGTAGTCTCGTGGGAACAGGTGTTGGTCAGGGAGGATTCGTCTTTGTGAATTAATTTTGAGGGTACCTGCAGTGTGCTGCGACAGAGCAGGACACCGTTACTATACCTGGTGCCATCTTTGAGTGCCCTCCCCAGGAAATGAAGAGCAGATTTTCTGCAGCCTATTTCCCAAACCAGAAAGTGGGGATTCCTGCTGTTTTTGCTCTAGAGAAAAGATGTTGGAATAAACATGTACATCTCACTGCTGACTACATACTGTTACCCTGGTGGAGCTTACAGACAAGAGGGGATACAACACCAGAGTTGGGGGGAGGTACCTGTGGACAGAGATGCTCTGTAGTTAATGCTTCATCATTCCTTCTGCTCTAGGCCTGGTCTCCAAGTCCTCTCCTAAAAAGCCCCGTGGACGTAACATCTTCAAGGCCCTTTTCTGCTGTTTTCGCGCCCAGCATGTTGGCCAGTCAAGCTCGTGCACTGAGCTCTCCGCATACAAGGAGGAAGCCAACACCATTGCTAAGGTAGCTGGGCAGGGTGGTGTGATGCCATGAAGGAGGGAGCTGCTAGTGGAGTCCATGCATCCACAGCAAGTGGACAAGCAGCCCTGCCTGAGGTCACGAAGATCTCTGGCTGAGAAGAGGCCCTTCCTCTGATGGACCCAAAGTTGGTTCATCTTATTCTTCTTGCTTCCCGCTTGTGGCATGGGCCACCCGGATGTCCCTGTCGTTTCTGAGGGCCCCTGCAGTCCACATCCTTCCAGATTCTAGGAACTGTGTAAGGAGATTTACAGATTCCCACATACAGGTGTGGAAACAGACCCAGAGGGTTTATGTAGCCCCTAAAGAGTTAACGGTTAATAAATGGTAGTGTCGGGGTTCCAACTCAGATTATTCTGGCTATAGGTCCTGTGTCTGTTGTTTGCTTTTTACTATGCAGAACTACCATCCAAGTTACTTGACTTTCAGGGAACCAAGGAATTGAAATTCTTCCACATTCTTGATAACCCCTTCAGCACTCTCACCCACATGTGAGAGACATTTGGGAATGTGTAGGTGTCTTTGATCTTCACAAGGACCAGTAAATATGTCTGGCTTTTCAAGGATAGAAACAGCCCTGACCAAAAATCCTTCTGCCCCCAGTGCCATTGGTACTTCTTTACGAAACACCAAGGTCTAGCTGTCCTTCCTCTCTCAAAACCAGGCTAATGACATGTACATCAGTGAAAAATCGCTTCATTATCCAGTAGTACAACATGATGTATTACTAAGCGATTGATTTTTACAAAGAGTTCATAATAACATGGAAAAGAACTGAGCTGCAACATTAAGTGAAAAAGCAGAATGCAAAATTATATACCATGGGGGGGAAAGGCTGCTAAAACAAACTTGAAAGAAGTGCCAAATTAAGTTTTTCTAAGTGCTAGGGTTTTTTCTTCAAGGTTTCCATTAAGAACACATTACTTTTTACAACATTCTTATCATTAGCAAAAGGTGGGGAAGCCATTCTGATCTCTCCCACTCCACCTCCCCACCCATCTTGGGACCCATAATGTGGGTTCCCGTTGGCTTGCTTCTGTTTTGTAGAGGCTCAATTGCTCCCCCATGTGTCTCCCCCAAGGAGGGAATAGACAGTACATGTTCTCAAGGAGAAGTTTAGGTTCAAGGACTAAGCAAGAGGCTAAACCACCACAGTGAGGAATTCCAGTTTTGGTTCTGACTCTTACTCTGTGTTCCTGCACCACTCACTTGAATTCCCTATTCCTTGCTTTGTTTAACTGAGGCAGTGGCAACTGAGAGCAGGGACAGTGTCTTCTCCACCCTTCATCAGGCCTAATGTGGAAAGGAAGTTCTGGCATTTCCTGCCCAGACCTTAAGAAAAGTCCATTTTGTCATGTCAGTACCTTCAAGGAGGCTGGGGTCTTGGGGAGATTACCCTCTAGGCCTGAGGCAGAAGCAGTGGGCTTTAGATGGGTTGGGATTGGTAGGCTGGCACTGACTGCCTCCTCTTCTCCTGCAGTCTGACCTGCTCCAGTGTCTCCAGTACCAGTTTTATCAGGTATGTGAATCTGACCGGGTACGTGCTCAGAAGCCCAAGATCCCATGATCCCAGCTCACCCCATGGGGTAATGCCCTCATTTCTCTGTGTCTAGCTGGCCAACTCCCCGTCCTGGGAAGCTATTTGTTCCAGATGTTTACTGAGGGCCCATCATGTGCAGTCTGTGGATTTTGGAGGCACAGCTTGGGTCCATCCCGCACCAGCCCTGGCCCCCATCTCCAATGTCCAGATCATTTCATAGTGCAGTTGGAGGCTGAGGCCAAGGAACCCACTTTGTCTCTTCTTTTTCTACCTCTTGGCCTTCAAGAGGCATCTCTCCTGGGTTGAAGTTGGGGGTCTTTCATCTCAATGAGCCCAGCTCTTCTCAGAGTTCTGAGATGAACAACTGGGCTTTCTTGGTGGCAGATCTCATCACCTTGGCTCTGGTTTTAGATCCCAGGAACCTGCCTGCTCCCAGAGGTGACAGAGGAAGATCAAGGAAGGATCTGTGTGGTCATTGACTTGGATGAAACCCTTGTGCATAGCTCTTTTAAGGTAACTTGACATCTGGAGTCCTTCCTACCCCCATCTTAGGCTATCTCGTGCATCTGGCTGAGGTGACCTAAAGTTGATGATAGAAGAGTGATCAGGATGGGGCAAGCTGGCCCTCTCAAATTTTGGGCACACTGGCATCACAAATATCTGGAGACTACACCCAAGAATGTTGAGTAGGAACCCCCGCTCTCCCTAACCACTGCCAGCAGGCCGCCACTGCCCCCAGTCACATAGCATACAGTGTTACCAGGGTTGTGTGCAGGGCAGGCCTAAAAGAGGGCTTTACTCAGCCTTGGATCTTGCTCCTCTCTGTTTTATTAAAAAGTTTGTTAACTCAAGAAGGCCCTGAAACTCTCAGCTCAGGTAGAATTTGTGGGGAGGGGTAAGTAGGGAAAACCAGACAAGACACTGCATCCTGTGCTGGGGTGAGAACCACTTAGTTGGCTGGCAGGAGGAGCTTCCTAGAGTCTGAGATCTGTTCCCACCCCTCAGTCACTGACCTCATTAACTTTTCTCCTTTCCAGCCAATCAACAACGCTGACTTCATAGTGCCTGTAGAGATTGAGGGGACCACTCACCAGGTAAGTAGCCTGCTAGGCCACACGCATCCCCAAGGGCTCGGGGTCCTCCTTTCTTCTCAGGGCTTGTGTTCCGTCAATTGATCCCTTTCCTGTAACTTTAGCCTCTTTTTTATCGGTACCTTTCACACCTTTTCACACTCAAGGCTCTCTCATCTTAAATTTTTTTTTTTTAATTTCAGCCCCTAATCCCCCACTAGCTGTCACCTTTTTTCTCTTTGCAGCCAAGCTGTTTGAAATTAAATATTTTTTAATCATAGAGATCGCTACCATTTATTGATCACCACCCCCCTCTCCCAGTGTGACCAGCACTATTGTATAATTCATCACATTTTCTCTAATCCTGAATAGCTGATTCTCTGCCTGATCCAGGCAAGGAAGCCAGTACGAGCTGTTTTCTCTCCTCCCCATGCCTACCTTCTCCAACTAGCTAGGGAACTTCTGCCTCCCTAGCCAAGCATCTCCTCTAAGAAGCTTTCTCCTACTCCCTTCCCTTTGGGTCCCTAACCTGGTTTCTTCCCCATTAAGTGTTCAGTACACATCTGTCAAAGAGCACTTGAAGCCAAATAAGATTAGGTTCGCCCTAGCTGATTTGGCTCAGCAAATAGAGCGTAGGCCTGTGGACTGAAGAGTCCCGGGTTCAGTTCCTGTCAAGGGCATATGCCAGGTTGTGGACACAATCTCCAGTGTGGGGCTTGTAGGAGGCAGCCAATCAATGACTCTCTTTCATCACTGATGTTTCAATCTCTCCCTCTCTCAAATCAATAAAAATATATTTTTTAAAATAAAATAAAAATAAATAAGATTTGGTTCTGGCCCTGCATACCCTACTCAGCCCAGGGTTAAGGACCATGTGGTATAGATAGTGGAAAACCATTTACTGCAAACGCCATGTGGTATAGATAGTGGAAAACCATTTACTGCAAACGCTTGCACAGAAGGCATGGCAGCTGGCCTGAGAGTCAGGGACCATCAGGAACAATGCCCTGGTAGCCCTGATACTTGCTTGCACAGCTGGTCAAATAGAGTTACTTGTAGAGGAACGGGGTTTGGGGCGTCTGTGGGTTGTCATCACCATCCTGCGTCCATCAGAGGCTTTCTTCACCAGCACCAACCCCCTCCTGAGGGACTCTGCCAAGCCCTGGACAGTCTGATTGAGGGTGTAGAAATGAACAAAACCCACAGGGAAAAGATGAAGGCATGTTTTCAAGCAGGCAGATAGAGACTGTGAATCCCTAGTTAAGGGGGGGCGGGGACATGAAGAAGGCAGAGTTTCAGCAGAGTGGTGAGGGATGCTGGGCTTGATGAAGAGCCAGGAAGAGGGAGGAACTTGTTGAAGGTTGAAGAAATGGCAAATGATGGGGAGCCAAGTTGTGGCTACCTGGAGTGGAGGACTGCTGCTGCAGAGCAAGGAGGGAGCTGGTGGCAGTTCAGGCCACCTCCAGAGGGGGAGTCAGAGCAGGTATATACTCAAGCGGGGAGTCCCATAGATGAGTGGAGCTTTGAAGGAGCGGTTCTAGTAGCACCTGTGTCGGCCATGTGAGAGGGCAAGAGCCTGGAGGCAGGAAAGCAGTAGCATGCAGACTGATGAGGAACGTGTAGCCAACGGATCTTTCAGGCCAAAATGTACAAGATCATGAAAGGTGGACACGCATGTTAAGAGTTGTTTAGCAGGAGTGAGTACTAAATGGGTGGGGGCACTAGAGCAAGTACTGCAGAGTGCCTGGTCTACGGTCATTGAGGGGAAAAGTCACTTCTCCCTGCTGCATTTCAGAGAAGCTGTGTGAGGGCATGAGGTTTCAGGAAGTATCTGCGACCTTCCCTGATGGTGACCGGACACACTGTCCTGCCAGAGCCAAGGACAGGAAGCTCCCACAGAGGCTGTGGCTGGATTCAAGTAATCCAGGATAGGCTGTTTCCACCTGTGAGGCCTATTCTTGATTACTTGTTTCTGGAGGCAGCTGATGGTTCGCCGCTGGACACAGAGTTGGCTCCCAGGACAGGTGCATGCATTTCTTCCTGAGCTGGGTCAAGGCTGGGACCACCGAGCCAACAAGCCTGGTGAGGAGGTGATACTAATACTCGGGCCTGTGGGCCAGAAGGCCTCCAGCCAGGGGGTCCCAGGGGCTGAGGTGTGGGAGTCTGAAACCACTTGCTGCTTTTTGTGGAAGTGGTGACAGTGACCTATCCTGTGACACTTCACCCTCACAGGGATGCCTTCAACAAGCCTCTTTGCTTTTCCTCAGGTGTATGTGCTCAAGAGGCCTTATGTGGATGAGTTCCTGAGACGGATGGGGGAGCTCTTTGAATGTGTTCTTTTCACTGCCAGCCTGGCCAAGGTACCTGGGGCAGGAGGAGAGAAAAGAACTGGGAGCAGGTGTGGCAGCTACACGGGTGGTCCAGTAGCCCCTTGCTGGTCCCCAGATTGCCACCAAACCCAAGTGTCTTCTCTCCTCCCAGTATGCCGACCCTGTGACGGATCTGCTGGACAGGTGTGGGGTGTTCCGGGCCCGCCTATTCCGTGAGTCCTGTGTGTTCCACCAGGGCTGCTATGTCAAGGACCTCAGCCGCCTGGGAAGGGACCTGAGGAAAACCCTTATTTTGGACAACTCGCCTGCTTCTTACATCTTCCATCCAGAGAATGCAGTGAGTGGCCCAGATGCCCACTGCAGGGGTTGGGAGTGTCCCTGCTCTAGTGGGAGAGGGAGTGGGTGGGGACCCTGGGACTTGGCCAGAAGAGCACACCATCCCAAGTGGACCCAGCCAGCTCCAAGGGCTCTGGGGCAAGGGAAGGAAGAACTGGCATTCGGGAGGTTTATGCTGCCTTTTCCCTGCCTCAGGTGCCCGTGCAGTCTTGGTTTGATGACATGGCAGACACCGAGCTGCTGAACCTGATCCCAATCTTTGAGGAGCTGAGTGGAGCAGAGGATGTCTACACCAGCCTTGGACAGCTGCGGGCCCCTTAGCCTTCCCTGATTCCAAGCAACGGCCATCCCAGTAGGGGACTGCCTACACTGTGCCTTTATGACCAGCCTGACAGACGGAGTGGAAACTGGAGCATCTCACCAAACGGGGCCTGGAAATAGAAGTGATGGGAAAGAACTTTAGGACAGGTTAGACGCCGAGTGGGCAAACATCAGACCAATGATACTCCAAGCCGCCTACTCCCCGAGTTGGGTTCCTGAGATGAGAGTGTGTGTGTGTGTTGCCTTGAACTGTGTTCAAGGATTTAAGTGTTTTAGGTTGGGGAAAAGCTGAAAAATCAAGACCCTCCCTAAGTTGGTCTCCTCTCCAGTCACCTTGAGCTCTATAGGCATGAAGACTATTCAGGGCTCCATTGCCAAACCAATGGCCTTTCCTCAGTGTTGTAAGGCTTGTGCCAAGGAGAAAGGAGGGGTCAGCGGGTGCCCGGGGCAGACTCCTTTTTAAAACCTTTCTCCAGCCAGCTGCTGCAGATAGAGGACAATCCTGGGAGATGGAAGCTTGTTCCAGAACTGGTTGCCCCAGGGGCCATCCCGTCCTGCAGTTCAAGGGCTGCACTTCCTTCCAGCCGAGTGCCTGGCCTGGGCCCTGGGCCTGCCTTCCTCACCACCTAGCCATAAGTCTCAAACCCGTGGGGAAGGAGGTCTTCCTGCCGTGGAAGAGGGCAGATAACTGATTTCCGTTCTTTTGACTCTTTTAAAAATCTCTTTCTAAACATGGAGTGTTGGGCCTGTTTTGTTTCTGACAAAGCTGCACCTGGGCTTAGGGTGAATGTGGGTGGCACTGGGGGTGCAGGGAAGAGGAAAATCCCAAAAGCCTGAATGTGTGTGTCCCCTTAGCTTATATGTGGATCAGCTGAGCTTGGTACTGTCTGTAAGTCTGTCTTCAGGGATTCTCTGCTGGTGCTGGTGCAAGGACTTTGGTTCCAAAGTCCAGGAAGGGCGCTCCCTACCTGCCCTTCCTTTTCTTGGGCAGGGCTCTTTCCTGTTGTGTCTTCCCCTGGGCCTGGCCTGTGACAAGCTCTACTCCATCTTCATCCCTCCTGGCTGTTGCTTTTTCTCTCCAGGGCCTCAGAGGCACTCCTGCTTTTCCTGGGCTGAGGGGGAGTGGGTGTTCTTATCATTACTTTGCCAGCCTAACACACATGCTTCCTGCCTCTGGTAACAGGTATGATGAGCCCTTCATACACCTGCCCTTTGTGTGTCTCTTGCTTTCAAAGTTTGTTAAAAGTGAATGCTTTAAAAAGGAGCCACAAAATGGAATTCCCCAGGATGGAAATAGGGGGGGAACTGCCGCTGTAATTGGGAGCATAAGGGACCAGCCCCCCCAAAAGGAGGCCCCATTTCAGCATCTCGGCCTTAATCGTGGTTTTCCCCAGGGCTGGGTGGGGTTCTCTCCTCTTCCCTCCCTCCCTCCCTCTGAGGCCGGAAGGAGTTCCTCTCTCACCTCTTGTCCCTGGAGGCAGGTGTTACAAAGCATTTGTACATTATTTCAGGTGTAAGGACACCTCCCACTCGAGACTCATCCCCATTATCCATTATCCATTTCCATTTCCACAATTAGGTCCAGCCTGAGAAGAGCCAGGTGGGGGAGCAGCAGCTTCATGTTCTAGGTGGTAGCTGGCTGACTAGCAACTTTCCCGTATTCTGGTGCCACCTCCTGCTTTGTCCAAGGATGTAAGGCCTTGTGTTTCCCTGGTGTCACAGACATGGAACAGTCCCCAAAGCCATATGGTCCTTTCCTCCAGCATCATTTCTAGTTTCCATGGGGTCCTGCAGGTAGGGGAAGGAGGGCTCTGGTATAAGCCAGGGACAAAGGCTCCTGAAGGAAATGGGGGCCTCTGGATCTAAGGCCCAGGGCTAGGCCTCCACCCTAATACTGTGGGAGGGGTCTCTCTTAAGACCCACCCTAAGGGTTAATTTAACCCTTGGGTTCAATCTGCCATCTGGCCCAGCCAAGGTTTTCTGACTAAGCAAAAAGTGTCCCTAGGATGCTTTCTCCATGTTCCTCCAATGAAGAGCCAAGGCAGCCCCTTGCCTATCAGGCTTGTCCGAGTGACCCATGACAGGGCCAGGAGAGCTGGGGGCAGTGTCCTCATGTCTTGTGCGGACTCTGCCCTGCCCACCTGCAGTTCCTCAACAGACAAGCCATTTCCACTTCCCCAGAGAAGCAACCAGGCCAAATAAACCTGAACAGGGTCTGTCCGTGTGGACCAGAGCCAGCCTCGTTTGCTGTCTGGTTTCCAGTTTCACGTGTGTTTGGGGGCAAGAGAAGATTGCTCCTGAGATGACTCAGGCCAGACCCAGTTTTTGAGGAGGAAAAGATTGGGAGAGCGCCGGTTTGCCTCAGGATCTGTGCTCGGGCTTCCTACCAGCCCTCCCTGTTTGCGGCTGGTCTTTGGAAGGCAATCGGCTGCCATGCCTGGTCAACACCAGTTCAAACCATGCCAGGAATCTGCCCCCCTGCCAGGTTCAGTTCTTTAATGTGCCTCTTCAGGGACACAGTGTGTCTCTCTGATTGGGCTTCTAAGTCAAAGCCTGATGTTCGTGTCCCTCTCATAGGGGGAGCTTTGGACACAGGACCAGTTTGGAAAGGGTCAGGTAAGAGTTCACTCTGCACATTGTAGAGGGGACACTCTGTAGGCCCATGGGTCCCTTATATAGAGAGAGGTTGAGCAAATTTGCCTTCAGTTAACCTGGGACTTTCCGTTTCATTCCCTCCTGCCTCCCAAAGATTATGACCATTTTGTAAGTGTATAAACTCACCTCTGTTAACAGTGGCCAAAAAGCTTTGTGCTAAAAGGCATGGGAAATCTAAAGGCATCCGTTCCCTGGGAAATGGGTGCCATCCTATCCTGCTACCCCTGCCCTGTTCCTGAAGCCTCACTCAGCAGGGCAGCCCCCTTGTAATGCTGTCCTGCATCCCATGTCCCAGCCAGGCCAAGGGTCAGAGGAAGGGAAGCCTATTTTCCCCTTTATGTCTTCAGTCGGTTACTTTACCGTTGTCCCTCGGTCACTGTAAAATGGGGCTTTAGGTCCCACCCCCCTTTTTTAAGGCAGAGGTCTGGCCCACTGCCCCTGGAGCAGACCCTCCTCTTGGGCCCCATGTGCTTCTTTGCTTGTCTTTATCCCACGTTTGACACGATCCACGTCAGTGCCACTTTTCCCCTTCAAGTCGCCATTTGGAGGGTAGGGGATCTGCTTCCTACTGTGACTGGGCTATGGGATTCTGACTACCTTGCTTAAAGATTCATGGTTTGATAAATTTGTATTTAAAAACTTGAAATGTAGGGCGCCATTATGTGTCTGTTTATATTTTTGGAATATTTGTATTACTTACAATTAATAAAAGTGGGTTTAAAAAGCCCATCCAGGAAGGGGCACTGCCTCCTGACTCTGCTGTTCATTTGGGCATCTACTGGGCACACCCTTCACCCCTGGCAACCCCTTCGTCATGATGAAGCTGGGAGTACCATGGCTGGGAGACCAGCTGCGGACTCAGCACGGGCTTCTGCTCAAAGTCACGGAAGTCAGACTATATTAGCTCTTCCCTAGCCCCCAACAGAACCAACTCCATTGCCATCCAGGTGCTTAATAAGCATGCACTTGGTGTCCTATCGACTTACGGGGATAGACCTGCAGCCCCAGGGGACTTGGAGTCTTCATTCTTCTGTGCCCCTTACTGATGTTCCCAAACCAGGATGCCTGAAACTCGGAACCCAGGATGGTTCCTGGTGCATAGTAGGCACTCAAATATTGATTGGACTGATGTATGACACCAAGAAGCAAAACAGGATGAGGTTTGGGAACACTCCTGGCCCCTCTCCTAGACCTGCCCTCCCCTTCTGAGAAATGCCCAGAAGCTTCTTGGGGAGGCGCTTGAGCCTGGACATCCAGGCACTCGGCAGGCAGCTCTAGCCCTAGCCTCCTGTCAGCATAATGCATCCATATCTACAATATGGCAAATTTCATATCCTCCCACCCTCTTTCCTGCATTATTGATGGGCTGTGCACTTTTTAAAAATCAATTAGATCAGGGCGTGGAGCTGGAGTTAAAAAAAAAAAAGCCTTTAAAAGTCTGCTCTTGTTTTTTTGCTGTTTTGAATAGGAACAGATAAAGCTTTCCCTCTGGTTTGAATAAGTCAAGCCCAGGGCTGGGTTGGCTGTGATTGGCCAGGACTAGGAAAATGTGGTTAAGATGCAAATCCAAGCAAATATAACCCAGTGTCTGTGCAGCCATTACTAAGTTCAGGCAGCAGACCTGGAGACTCCTGCTTTGGGGTGGTTCTTCAAAAGCGCTGCTGCTTACTTGCCAGCAAACTGGGAAGACTGTGGGAGAGAAGCAAGGCAAGGTAAGGTCTATTTGGTTTCCGGGTGCATGCCAGTAGAGCTATCCTACTGAACAAGGAAGAAACAAATGGGAGAGGAGATGGAGATTTCCCTTGCTCTGTCTTTGGTGAGGCTTTTAAAGGGTTGAACCAGGAGTTTGAAACACGTTTTGCAAAGTTCTGCTGAAAAACCAAGGTCCTTTTTAGAGACCTCTGAACAGATAGGGCACATTTTTAAAACCTGGGGATGAAGAAGACCCCTCAGAAAGATGGTCTGGGGCAAGGGAGAGGTTAAAACCAGCAACCTCTGGGGTCTATTCATACTGGCATCTCTCTAAGAATTAAGGGCCACTAGCTTTTAACTCGTGATTTCAAAACTGCACCCCACCCCAGGCATTTCTGCAGTGATCTTAAAGGGTGCTGAATTCATAAGAACCTGGGAGGAGGGAGGGACTAAGTTTGGGGGAAATTTGATGTCACAGATGGAGTCGCATTTTCTGGGTGTTCCAGTGTGGCAAGAAGTCCCTTTGAGCATGTCCTCTCCTGCATTTGGGGGACCCAGGACCCGTAAGATCCTTCCTGCTGACAAATGGGACTGCTTTTGGCCTCGAAGACGGCCCTAATTAATGCCAGTTGGGTTGGCTTTTACCAGGTTGACACTTCTCTACTTTCAAGGAGTGAATTCATTGGCCCTTGTCCCCTTTGCCTAGTTACTAACAGCATTTGCCTTGAATGACTGAAATGGAGGGTCTGAAGAAAACCTGAACAAATATTTCCTGGCAGTTCTGAGCAGCACAGGGTGGGGCGATGCAAGTTATCAAATTAAATCCTCAAACAGTGGCTGCTCCGCCTCGCTGCTCAGCTTTAGTCCTGCCATAGCAGTAGACAAAGGGCGTTTGTTTTTGTGTTTTCACTAAAATACATACTAAACAGCGCATATTCTCCAAACCCGGGTTCATCCACCACAGCTCAAGGAAAGAATGGCCAGACATGCTCCTCTTAACAAGCACAATGTGCCTCTAGATAGCAAAGCACCACACAGCATTTGTGGATGGGTTTTCATCCGACATAGACCCATCAAGGGGTCCTTTTCCTTTGCCTCTTGGGCATATTCATCATGTGTATTGTCATCGGATTGTAAGCTCCTTGAGAGCAAGAACCAGGCATGCCTTCTCATTACATAAAGGCCCTATGGGACCATGGACGTGTGTAGGTGCTTGATAACCCTGGATACGCCTTGAATAGAGATGGTGCACGATCCACACAGACTTCTCTTTACCACTGCCTTCCTCCCCCCACCCAAGGCCAGACACTGCACCACTGGCTCCTTAGGGTCGGGAAGAGGGAGGGCAGCAGCTCACTGGCAGGCCAGGCCACGCCCACCTTCCCCTGTTGGCACCTGTACTCTGTCCCAGGCCCAGCCTTGCTTGCCATTTTACTTTTTTTTCTGTGAGGTACAGGGAATATATCAGTCAAGTAGGATGGGTTGTCTGAGTTTTGGGATAGTTTACTTGAAAGTAAAAGCTCAAAGAAAAGGTCAGAGAGTTGACTGTGGAGGAACGGGGAAGAACTAGAGGGGACGAGAATGAGAGAAGGCAGCCCAATTTAGAAATACTTAGTTTGACATCAGCTTTCCTCCTGGTGTACCACTGAATTTAGATAAGTTTAGGAAGGGCTGCAGTGCATCAAAAACACTAAAAGCACAGATTTTAGGATCAGATAAGGAATTCATACTAGTGTGTGATCCTGGGCAAATTATTTTATCTCTGAGCCTGTTTTCCTACAATGTAAGACAAAGAAAATACACTCAGCTTATGAGAAATAAATGAGATAAAGTGAATCAACACAGGGCTTAGCATATTTATCACTCCTTCAGTCAATAACCTGGTGTTACCGGAGTTCTTCACAAGGGAAGTGGCAAGTGGGAAGCAGAACTGGGTGGGAGTCCTGGCCAGCCAGGCTAACGATGTGACCTCGGACAAGTCATTTCCCCCATCACTGTGAAATAGCAGGACATGGCAGGGTGGCTGACAAGATTCGGAAGTGACTTAGGAAGAAAGCTGGATGAATGCCTGCTGGGACAGGCCTCATCTCCCCGCTTGCTCTATGATGTTTCAGTCCCAGGAAGACAAGAGCCATGTCTCTGAGCAGCGCCTTCAGGGCTGTGGGCAACGACCCTGGGATCATCACCTGGAGAATAGAGGTGAGCGGAACTGGGGCGCACCTTCCCCCTAGTCACCCAGGCCTGATACTGGACAGCCCTTCTGTCTCCGGTCAGGAGCAGAGAGAGACAGCATCTAAGTGCACATTTTCCTTTGACCCCTCCTGGGTGTTCAAAGCAGGTGGGTGGCAGGTGGCGGAAATGTTCTTAGCCTTGGAGAGAAGGGCTCCAAGCAAAACTAAGCTTGTCCTTTATTCAGCCATCTGCTCGGGTGAGTCTGCACTTCCAGTAAATGCCCTGGAGAGATGGGTGGGGCCAGGGCCCACCCAGGAGACTGATACTCCTGGCTGCTTTTGTCAGAACCAGAGTGCTCTGGCTCCCACAAAGTAGGGGAGGTTTGGGGCACTGCACAGAAGAGGGCACGGCTCATCCCCCCTCCCCCCTGGACTTGAGCCCTATGCTGACCTTGAGCTCCAGCACTCTGTAGCTAGGAACCGCCCTGGCCTGGGAAGCCCCATCAGCCAGATGAAAGGACCCCCACCCACCCTCATGTCCCTGCTCGGAGCCGAGTGAGTGATGCCTAAAACCCAGAGGTGTGCCTCACTCCACTACCCTCCACGTAGAAGGAGAGTCACAGCCTCTAGCAAGCGGCTGAGTGTGTGAGAGGCCCAGGACATTTCCAATAGGTACTAAAAAGTACAAAAATTAGGGGTATTTAATATTTTTACATTTAACACACACATTTTACATAGAATACACACAAGTATGACTGCAGGTTTACCTCACTTGGAGTTAGTGATGAAAATCTACATCTGAGGCCATAGAAATAGTCCTCCTGGGGCAAGACAGACACGCAGGTGATAAAGCAGGGCCCCAACCCGGACGCTGGGCTTGGAGCCCACACGTGACTGGCACTCGCCCCAAAGCCCCACAGAACCTTAGTGTTCTGTTCTTGCAGACCTTGGCCAGCACTGGTGGTCAGAGTTGGAGAGCAATGTCGGAGGCAGTGGTGCAGCTGCTCAGAGGGAAGGTCTTAGTGTGTAGCTTATACCCAGCTCTTTCCCCTGCAGCGGGCCGAGGGTCCTCACAGTGCAGCAAGACAGCACAGGGCGGGCAGCAGGGAGGAGGATGGGGTGAGGACAGGCACCCAGATTCAGACTGGGGTGTCCAGGCTGAGCTCAGAAGCCAGGTGGCCATGCTACTCCTGCCACACCCTGTAAGATCAGCGGGGACATCTCCCCTGCCTCTCCCCTGCTGTCTGTGACTGAGGAAAGGGCTGCTTCGGGGAGGGGGAGGTGGGAGGGAATGCAGCCTGTGCACATCCCTTATCCTTCCAGAAAATGGAGCTGGCGCTGGTGCCCCTGAGTGCCCATGGCAGCTTCTATGAGGGGGACTGCTACGTCATCCTCTCGGTGAGCACCCCCCTCCCAGCCCCCCATTCCCACACGCTTCTCCCTAGAGCCAGGCTCCTCAGAGGAGAGACCTGACGATGCTATTCAGGTCCCTGGTGTCGATCTTGATTCTTCCTCATGTTATACAGGACAGGCCTACAATTTGACCTTAAAGGCCGTTCTTAGGTGGGAGTTTTCAATTTTGCATCAGAAGGTGGGGGTGGGGCCCTCAGTCTGAACTTAGATAAGGAACTCACAGACAGCACATCCTGGGGAGGGGGCAGCCCCCAGATTACAGCGGTGTGGAAGAAGGCCAGATAAATGCAGGCCTCGAAGTGCTCATTCTAGTTGAGGAAACAACATCCCACATGAATAGTGCTGACAGCCACAAGATGGACAGATCAGCACTGTGCCAGCTCCATAAGTTCAGGGGAATGGAGGAGCCACAAGGTAAGCCTGCATTCCAAGTTGGAAAAGGTCCCTGATGCACTCCATTTATGTGAGAACAATAAGCTGTCAACTTTTCCCAAACATGGAGAGGAATTGGGGCTGCCTGAGCTTGAGCCACACTGTAGGTCCACATAGGGGCCACTGCAGGGAGGGAGAGGTCTGGAGCCACTGTATGCTGCGTTCTCCCCATGCCAGTGGGGCAGCAGCAAAGGGGAGGCGAGCTGGTCCCTGACCTGTCTCTCTGGCTGCATCCCAGACCCGGAGAGTGGGCAGTCTCCTCTCCCAGGACATCCACTTCTGGATCGGGAAGGACTCCTCCCAGGATGAGCAGAGCTGCGCAGCCATCTACGCCACACAGCTGGATGACTACCTGGGGGGCAGCCCCGTGCAGCACCGAGAGGTCCAGCACCATGAGTCCGACACCTTCCGCGGCTACTTCAAGCAGGGTATCATGTGAGTAGTTACGGATGAGCCAGGGAAAAATGGCAGTTTACCAAAAAGGAAACCCAAAGGACCAATAAGTACATGAAGAAAGTAATCAGAGAAATGTAAATCCAAACAAGCTTATAATTTCCACTACTCGAGTAGCACAAATCTGAGAGCTGGGCGGTGCAAGTGCTGGCGAGATTGTGGGGAAATAGGAGCCCTTGTGCCTTGCTGGTGGGAGGGAGGGCTGTCACAGCATTTCAAAGAGTAATCTGCCCGAGGCAAATCCCATTTCTGGGTGTATAATTCAAAGGAATTCTCACATACCCAGTTCCATAAAGGCACATGAACCAGGATGTCCACAGCAGTTATCATTAGTGATGGCAGAAGCTGCAGAAAATGTAGAAGCCCATCACTGGGAGACTGGACAAGAAAAATACTCCATGACACTAAGGAGTACTATGCAGGAGCCAGAAGCAATGGATTAGATAGATACCTAACATGTACAGAGCTTAAAATCAGGGTGCTTTAGTGAACACAGTAAGAAACAGCCTTGAGCTATGTAACAGAATGCCAATTTGTTTTTTCCAATTTGTTTTTTAAAAAAACCCACATGCACACAAAACAACAGGCCGCATTTCACCAGAATAAAAATAAATCCATGTTAAACTGTTAGAATGGTTGCCCATGGTGGGGTGAAGACTGGGAGTAGGGTATGCAGATAAGAGAGAATAGTAAATACCTAAAACGAGAGGGTTCTGGTACTGCTCCATGAACTAATGAGTTTGATTAACTCAAAACTTTGCACTCAAGATTAAAACAAAAAGAAATTCCAATGAGCTCAAGAATTCTGAGGCTGGTCCAAGGCCAGCTTCGTGCAGATTGGCAGTTCCCACTGAGGACCTGCTGGGCACAGGGCAACACACTGTCACCAGGAACCTGGTCTGGAGGCTGGGTTGGGTGAGTGCCGGGGCAGAACTGATTCCAGGAGGGAGTTGGTCCTCAGGCCATGGTGTCATAGATGCTTCTGCTGCTGCCCAGCTTGTGCCCCTCTCCCTGCCACACACCGACATTCACACAGTTCCCAGCACAAAACAAGCTCTTTCATGCTATGGGGTCTTCATTACCAATGTTCCCTCTGTTTTGAACACTAGTTCCTTGTTGTTGGTTCCTATTCCTTTAATGCTCAGCTGGACTGTTACACCTTCTGAGAAGACTGCCTCACCACTCTGTCAAAGTCTGTCACTGTGTCTACTTCTGTGGCAGCAATTACTCCCATATAGGTTTACTTTGCTTATTTACTGTTGTCACCCACATGGGCAGAAACCGCATCTGTGTGATTCACCACTGTCTCCCCGGTACCTAACACATAGCAGGTGCTCAATCAATAACTTAATGGATGTTCCCTTAGCTACAAGAGGGGGGGTGTGGCCTCTGGGATGAAGCATGTGGAGACCAACACCTATGACGTGGAGCGGCTGTTACATGTGAAGGGGAAGAGAAACATCAGGGCCACGGAGGTAAGTCCTCCCACTCTTTCTGGGCCCAGGGCCTCTCCACCTGGTGCCAAAGGATTCCTCTTGAATAATGTCTACCTCCAGGTGGAAATGAGCTGGGACAGTTTTAACCGAGGTGATGTCTTCTTGCTGGACCTTGGGAAGGTTATCATCCAATGGAATGGTCCAGAGAGCAACAGCGGGGAGCGTCTGAAGGTACAGCTCTTTCCCGTCTTCCTGCTCTCCTCTCCCTCAGGCCTGCTCATAGAGCGTGGCTCTCTCAGGTGCCTTTTCCTTCTTCCTTCCTTGCTGGCTCTTCCCTGAGATTCAAGGCGGACCCCTGCCTTGGAGTAGAGTCTGTTTTAGAAAGAGACCATGTGTGTGAGTCTGTGACTCACCCCTGGGCTCCTCAGCATCAGAGTAACTCCTGTCTGAGACCTAGGCTGCTCCTCCCAAAGCCATTGGGCAGAGATGGGGGGAGGGGCAGAGAAGCTAAGTGCTTCCATGGGTTTCCTTGACAGGCTATGCTTCTGGCAAAGGATATTCGGGACAGGGAGCGAGGGGGCCGTGCTGAAATAGGAGTGATCGAGGGAGACAAGGAGGCAGCAAGCCCAGAGCTGATGAAGGTGCTTCAGGACACCCTCGGCCGACGTTCTATTATCAAGCCTGCAGTCCCAGATGAGATCATAGATCAGCAGCAGAAATCAAATATCATGTTATATCAGTGAGTAGCTAAACCTGGCTGCTGGTTGGAAGCTGGGGCAGGGGGAGGGTGTCCCCTGGAAGACAAGGGGATACTTCTGCTTGGCTCCTCATTTTGGGTGCAGGAGTCTGGCTTTCTTTTAGTCTTTTTCCCATGCATCTTCTAGAAAGAGCTTGCTGTTCCGATTCAAGGAGGCAGCTACCATCTGTCCTTGTCAGCAACTCTTCCTGGTCTCTTGGGGAAACTGTTCCTTTACTTTGATCTATGCCTGCGCAGGGATGTGACGGGATGTTTGGAGAGAGATGCACAAGTCTCCACTGGAGAACTGAGTCCCTCACAGTCCTGTCTGCATTCACACCATGCCTGTCATAGGAAGTCAAACTCTCCCCAGAAACTCCGCATTAAAACAAAGCCAGGAGGATACCCAACCACTACAATGCTTTGCAGAAGAGAAGGCACAGGCTAACCTCTCCCTTTCTCCAGTGTCTCAGACTCAGCTGGGCAGCTGGTGGTCAGAGAGGTAGCGACGAGGCCGCTGGTCCAGGACCTACTGAACCATGATGTAAGCAGAGCTGGAGTGGGGTGGCCAGACCTGGCCTCAGGGCAGGCCCTGGGAAAGTGTAACCACCTTTGTCCCTGACTGCTTCAGGACTGCTACATCCTGGACCACAGCGGAACCAAGATCTACGTGTGGAAAGGAAGAGGAGCCACAAAGGCTGAGAAGCAGATGGCCATGTCTAAGGCCCTGGTAGGAGCTACAGATGCACAACATTGTCCAAAAAATTCTGTCAGTACCACTTCAGCTGTGCTCAGAGAGCCACACCAGGCCCTGAGCAAAGCACAGTGCAGTTACATACATGGACTTCAAAGTTGGGCAAACTGGGATTCAAATCTAGGTTCAATGCCATCCCCTGGGTTGTTGTGAGGATTAAATAACATCTGTTAAGGCATTCAGAACAGTACCTGGTACACACTGGGTCAATAAAAGGTGGTTGTTACTATTGAAGGGGACAGATAGCACGTATCAAGGGTAATGGCCCTGTCCTCAAGGAGCGTATGATATTGTGCAGACCCCGCAGATGATGCACTCACAGAGCAATAAATGGGCAAATGAATGTGAGACAAAGTCAGTATTCTACATGAGTGTACAAAGAACAGAAAATAAGAATCATCATCATGACAGGCCAATAAACAGATGATAAATGTTCCACTCAGTCCTCTCCTTGAGTTAGGTACATTTGTCCTAGACAGAAATGAGTTAGAATTTGACTCTGACTCCCAGAAGGGAATAAGGGAGCAATCCTACCAACTGGCTTCAAAGGGGTGAATGACCGGTCAGCAAAGGACTCGGTGCATTCCCTGACTGACCTGCTTTTCGGGGGGTGGCGGGGTGTCTACAGAACTTCATCAAGATGAAGGGCTACCCCAGCAGCACCAATGTGGAGACCGTCAACGATGGTGCCGAGTCAGCCATGTTCAAGCAGCTGTTCCAGAAGTGGTCCGTGAAGGAGCAGACCGTGGGCCTGGGGAAGACGTTCGGCATTGGTAAAATCGGTAAGATCGCCTCAGACCGTCTTCCTACTGAGACTGTAGGAAGACAGGCATGGATGATCTTCACTCACTCGGCTTCTCCCAACCCCTTCTCTGCAGCTAAAGTTTTCCAGGATAAATTTGATGTGACTCTGCTGCACTCCAAACCAGAGGTAGCTGCCCAGGAAAGAATGGTGGATGACGGCAATGGAAAAGTCGAGGTAAGCCTAACGATTCCCACCTCAGTGCAGGCAGGCAGCTCTGGCCCTCCTGGCTATTCTGCCGTAGAGGAGGGGGCAGGTGATTTTGTGTCTGCTTTGCTTTCCTTTTCATCTCCGGTGCCTAGGAGTATTCTCTCCAAGGTGTCTGAGTCTGCAGTTTTCCCACAATTCTTCAGGGAAGTGAAAGGCAGATACCCTAGTGAGCTATCAGTAACTCACCTGGCAGAACTATTCAAATCACCTCTGAGCTGACAGGAGGTGCCTGACCAGGGACAATCCAGTTCTCCTCCAGATTCAAATCATGCAAATGTGATAAGGCCTCGCCACTGGGAAAGCAGCCCCAGAGGGGGCAGGGGACTTTGAGTGGCAGATGTTAGTGCCTTACCTGAGGATTCTCTGCTAAGCACCGCCCGTTCCCTTCAGGCAGCTGTCTCTTCAAATAGGACCCCATCTCTGGGGAACTGTCTCCTTCTGTGCCCAGGTCTGGAGAATTGAAAACCTGGAGCTGGTCCCCGTGGAGCATCAGTGGCACGGCTTCTTCTATGGGGGAGACTGCTATCTGGTTCTCTACACATTCGAGGTTTACGCGAAGCCGCATTACATCTTGTACATCTGGCAGGTAGGCCTGGGCAGGCTCTCAGCTTTCAGAGATGGTGCTTCCTCTGGCCACTAGGCTGGGGCAAGGGCAGCGGCAGCCATTTCTCCCGTCACCGCTGCAGGGCCGCCACGCCTCACAGGACGAGCTGGCAGCCTCGGCATTCCAGGCGGTGGAGGTGGATCGGAAGTTTGATGGGGCCCCTGTGCAGGTCCGGGTTACCATGGGGAAGGAGCCACGCCACTTCATGGCCATCTTCAAAGGAAAGCTGGTTATCTTTGAGGTGAGAGCCCTCAGATAAAGTTACACCATGAGCCAGAATGCTCCGAACTAACAAGTAGGGGCTACGGTAGAGAAGAGGGGTGGGGAGCAGGTCTTGGGGTAGCCATGGACAAGAAGGGGTTAATCTCTCTAAGACACTGAAGTGAATCCCAACTGCCTAGGTCTTCAAGTCCAAACCACTGCCTAATTCATGCTCACAGTCTTTCATAAACTGACCCAGATTACCCGTGTAGGTGCGCTACCCTCACTCCCTAACCTACACGCTCCACTTGTCAGGTGGGTCTCCTCACTGGGCCGCACATGTGCCATATCACACTCCCTATCAACCTTTCCCACCGAATGTCCTTCAGATTCAAGTCCTACTTCTTCCATGAAGCCCTGGCTGAAGCACTACCAAAAATGTATAATGGCACATGCTTGATATACACAAGTCTGTGGTCAAGTCCTAGTCTTGCCATTTATTAGCCAGGTTTCTAAGCCTCAGTTTCCCCATCTGTGCTATGGGGTGATACCTTCACAGAGTTATTTGGAGGATCAATGAAATGATGTAGGTAAGGCACCAGCCACAAAGCCTCCATATAACAGAGGTCCCAGGATGAAAGCTAACATTATTGGTACCATCACTCCAGGTCACCCCCACCTCTCCCAGTTAGCCTACAAGCTCCTCAGAGGCAAATATGGTGTCAAATACATCCATGTTCTCCTCAACAGCTAGCCCAGTGCTCTCTCCCATGGTGCACCTCAAATCCAGACTCTGCTTTTCTCCTTCTCTCTAGGGTGGGACTTCCAGGAAGGGAAATGCCGAGCCCGACCCTCCAGTAAGGCTCTTCCAAATTCAAGGAAATGACAAATCCAACACCAAAGCAGTGGAGGTGCCAGCCTTCGCCTCCTCCCTGAACTCCAATGACGTCTTTCTGCTGCGGACCCAGGCAGAGCACTACCTGTGGTACGGCAAGGTAAGATGGCTGGGCTCAGTGGTCATACCAGCCCTGTGCCCACCCTCCTGTCAGCAAAGCTGGAAGAGTTCACAGAAAGAGGAACCTTTTTCCTAAAGGGTCTTCAAAGGGACTGCCAACATTCCCCACAATTAGGCCTCCAATTAGAAAGTCAATGACCGTCCTCGTCCTGCCCATACCCGGAGACACTCCATAAACTTCAAAATAACACGATCTTTGCACACGAGTTTGGTGGATTACAATAAGACAGGCATTACCACTGAACAATAACATGAAAAATGTGATTTTTGTCCATTCAGACTGCATCTGCATTAAAAAGAACTAAGTTGTTTTACAAAAGAGAATTGAACAGGAAAAGATGCTCAACATCATTAGTCATTAGGGAAATGCAAGCGAAAACCCAATGAGATACACACTTATTAGAATGACTGAAAAAATTGAGAATATCAAGTGCAGATGAGGATGTTTCTTATAAAACATACACTTATCATACAATCCAACAATCCCACTTCTGGGCATTTAACCATGTGAAATAAAACAGTCTTCACACAAAGACCCACATACAAATGTCTATAGCACACAGCACCTTTCTTCACAATCACCGGAAACTGAAAGCATCCCCACTGGAGAACGGATAAACAGTACCACATCCATACAATGGAGTACTGCTCAGCAACACAGACAGTGAGTGTCCAACACCCACAACTACAAGGATGAGACTAAGTGAAGGCAGCCAGACTCAAGGGCTACATGGTGTGTGATTCCGTTTCTGACCTCAGGAGAAGGCAAAACTAGTGTGATGGAGAGCAGAGCAGTGGTTGCCAGAGGTTAAGGATGGGAAGAGGTGGATACAAAGGGATAGTCTGGGCGAATCTTTTGCTGGGGCAACTGTTCTGATTCTTTGTTGTGGTGGTAACTCGATTCAATGCATTTGTCAAGACTCATAAAACCACATGCCAAAAAGAGTGAATTTTTGTGTATGTAATTTTTAAAATAAGTTTAAATTTTTCTCTTAAAAAAATATTAAAAGTAGGTGGTAAAATTCCAACTGAAACCAAAACAAAGGTGACTCTTGTCAACATCCATGTGGTTTCAGAGTCCAGTTTTGTTCTTTGCCACCATAGTGTTTTCCTCCCCCCACCAGAGCCCCTTCCCAGCACTAGAACAAACCTATTCCCCTGTCCCAAAGTACTATGGCTTGGTTGCTGATCCTAGCTACACTAAGCTATTAGTCTCAGAAGCTTTTTTTCTACATCAATGTGCTCATGTGCAACTAACATCTGTGTTCTCCTCACCCCACTCTCAGGGGTCTAGTGGGGATGAGCGGGCAATGGCTAAGGAGCTGGCCGGGATTCTCTGTAATGGCACTGAGGACACTGTGGCCGAGGGCCAGGAGACCCCGGAGTTCTGGGACCTGTTGGGAGGGAAAACTCCCTATGCCAGTCACAAAAGGTATGGGACCACAGCATCCCCTCCTCTTGGCTCCCCCTGCCTCCCAGGCTTGTGAACTGCACATGATTTCTAAGCTCAGTTCCTCCAAATGGACTGTATTGCAGACTACAGCAGGAAATCCTGGATGTCCAGCCCCGTCTCTTTGAATGTTCCAATAAGACTGGCCGGTTCATTGTCACTGAGATCACAGAATTCACCCAGGATGACCTGAACCCAAGTGATGTGATGCTCCTGGATACCTGGGACCAGGTAAGACACAGCCAGAGTGCTTGGAACAGAAGAGAGATCCTCACAGTGTGGGCTATGTTTATGTAGTAACTCCCCTGCCAGAATAAACCCAGGGTAACCCTGGACCATCCCCAAGCCAATCAAACAATTGTCAGTGGTGACCAATAACAGAGCCTGCTTTTTACCAGAGTTGAAAAGAACAGAATGTTGTTTAAAACTCACCATCCTGGGAACTCTCCCACCTGGCTCTGGGAAAAATCAGGCCATCCTATCTGTCATCAGGCACTTCTTTCTCTCAGGATCAATAGCAGCAGGTTCCACACCCAGATATGGGCCTTTGAGGAACAAAGGGGTATCTCCAAGGCAACCTCCCCTGACATCCCATTTTCCTCAGTTTGGCCCAGCAAACATGCTCAGCACCTCCTCTGTTCTAGTCACGGAGTGAGGTGTGATGTCACCGAGGTGAAGAGTGCCATCCTGCTCTGCGACTTCACAGGCTGATGGGGGTGGGGACGGAGGAGCATCATTTTACTATGATGGAGGTGCATAAAAGGTGCCACGGGAGCACAGATTAGGGGCACTCACACAGTTTAGCAGCTCAGAGCTGACGTCCTGGAGGAGACGGCTCCCGACTGAATCTCCAAGGATAAATAGGCATTAATCAGGTAAAGAGGGCACTCCGGGCACAGGAAATAGCACAGGTACAAGCAAGGCACGAAGTATTCTAGCACACATGGAACTACGGAAGAAAAATATTATCGGAACATAAGATAGAGCTAAAGAGCACCCTGGAGATGCAGCTGAGGAAGTAGGTATGGACCTTACCTACTATGTGAAAAAGTTTGAGATTTATCCTGGAAAGCTACTGAAATTTAAGCAGGTGAGTAGCAAGGTCGGACTGCACTTTAATAAAAGCATCCCAGCAAGTATAGGAGAGGGGGTATGGGGGTGAGAACAAAAGAAGACTATGCTGGGAGGCCACTCAGTAGTCTATTGTTAGAGTCCAGTTAAGTGCTGCTGCGTGGGCCCACATAGGAGCAATGGAGTAGAGATGCAGAGATGGTGACAGATTTGATAAATCCAGAGAAGGGAAACTGGCTGACCTGAGTAACTCACTGGATATGGGGCATTTAGGATGAATCCCAGGTTACGGCCTTAAAAATGACTGGGTGGATGCCATTCACCAAGAATGGAGACACAGACCAAAGTTTAGAAAAGAGCTACATTTTGGGGTGTTATATTTGAGGTGCTTGAAGACAGCCAAGAGGAGGTGTTTTGCAAGAAGTTGGATTCAGGAAGTTGAAGTTCAGAGAAAGAGCTCAGGTCTGGAGATGTACATATGGGAGATACACACGGCAATTAAAATCACAAGTCAACTGATTCTGAGAAAAGCTCTCTGCTGAGGCTGTGAATTGCTGAGGGGGAAAGAGAGGGCAGTGTTTATGATCTAGTACACGGTACTTGTTATGAGCACATTAACTAATATTCAATCTCTACCATAACAGGTGTTCTTGTGGATTGGGGCTGAGGCCAATGCCGTAGAGAAGGAGAGCGCTCTGGCTACAGCGCAGGAGTACCTGCACACTCACCCTAGTGGCCGAGACACTGACACACCGATCCTGATCGTCAAGCAGGGGTTCGAGCTTCCCATCTTCACAGGCTGGTTCTTGGCCTGGGACTCTCACATTTGGAGTGTAAGAACAGAGAACGGGAGGCGTTCTTAATGTCAGGGAGCTCAGCATTAATAGCTCAGTGGGACAGTGGGGTACTCAAGGGCTGAGTAAATCCAAGTCCACACTTCCCTTACTCCCTGTCCCCTGCTTTTTACTTCTCTTTCCCACCCTCCACAGCACGAAGTCCAGTTAGAGAATTCACAGCTTAGTTCAGGAATAAGCAGCATGTAGAAGTAATAATGTTTAGAAAGTATACCCACACACCTGTTTTTTAGCTTTACAACCATCCTGACAGCCACTGTAAACATGGTTTCCCATGTTACAGATGGGAAGCTTCGAGGAGAAATTATTTGTCTGAAGACACAATTAACCAGGTTTTCTGACTCCTAGTCAACTGCTGTCTTAAGTCTTATACGGAGGATTGAGGGACCACCAGCAAAGAATGCATATGTTTCATACCTTTCAATCCTGCATGGGCCCAGAAGGGATTTCCATTTTTGCTCATCCCTGAAATGTCCTGGGATTCTCTGGCATTTTTGCTTTTCTCAAGGGTTCAGATTAGGCCTGAGATGGCCATCCCTATATGCAGTACTTCATCCTATGTTTTCTATCTCTTCCTTTCAGGCAGGGAAATCCTATGAACAGTTAAAAGAAGAGCTGGGAGACACTGCTGCCATCACGAGAATCACTGCTGTGAGTTTCTTGGAGGAGCAAGTCACACAGGCAACCAGAGCCAAAGAGAAACACAAGTGCTACAGATGTCACAGGGTGACCCCTGTCATGTCCTCAGTATCACTCAAGTCGTCTGTTCTGATATGAAGACTGTTTTAATGAATAGAAAAGCAGGTCTCAGAGCCAAGTTCCTTAGTTTACCACCTTCCAGAATTTAGAACAGACTTACTGTTTTTAAAAAGCAACAAAAACTAATTTTAGTATTCAACTCTCTCTGTCATTCAGGACAGATTAAATTTATTGACAGCATTTCTCAGAAGTAGTAAGTTTCTAACCCAAATGATATGTTTATCAGTTCCTGACAGTAGAATCCATAGAAATTCAGACCATTACCCCTATTTTAATGGCTAAAAGAAGTGGAGCCTCTGCCAGGAATTCAACAGCAATTTAACATCAGGATGAGTTGGACAACACCAGCTGTCCAAACCAACTGGCAACTATGTCCTTTGTGCTCTACAAACTCAAGATTCCAAAGCTAATGGTGATGTCGCATCTTTAAAATGTATTTAAGGAAAGTATGACTTCAACTGAAGTCACTTAAAGCCTGGAAATGCAGAGCCTAAGTTAAGTGCCAAGAGAAGGGATGCGATCACAATATTTAATGAGATTTAAGCACAGCACTGATGCCAAACTGGCTACACAGGATTTACCTTATATTTATTCAATCAGCTTTCCCAAGGACCCCAAAGTTTGAATATTTTGGATTCCCTGACGATTCTGACATGCAGCCAGGTTTGGGGACAACTGTTCTAAAAGCTAATTACAAAGAGTGAAGTGGTATAAACCAAAATTTTAATATTATACACACAGACCTTCGATTGCACAAACCTGAACAGTTTTTTACCGTGTCTCCGTTTTCATCTATTTTACCTAGGACATGAGGAATACAACCCTCTCCCTGAATTCTGAGATAAAATATTACCCTATAGAAGTTCTACTGAAAAATCAGAATCAAGAGTTGCCTGAGGATGTGGACCCTGCCAAAAAGGAGGTGAGTCGCTGAAGGAGCTGTGTCTGATGCAAGTGCAGCTCTCCAGGAGTAAAGTGCCTGTCTCCCTACACGGCCGAGGACACTTCTGGAACACTAAGCACTCAGACATTCGAGCTACCAGTATCTCAAAAACACAGGGCTCTTTCTTTCTTTCTTTTATTTTATTATTATTAACCAAAGAATATACTTTATTCAGATACCCTCAGTTTTTCTCCATTGTCCATTTTGTTTCAGGATCTTATCCAGGACATCCTGTTACACTGAGCAGTATTGTTTCCTTAGGCCAGTGGTCGGCAAACTCATTAGTCAACAGAGCCAAATATCCACAGTACAACTGAAATTTCTTTTGAGAGCCAAATTTTTTAAACTTAAACTATATAGGTAGGTACATTGTTATTAACTTAATTAGGGTACTCCTAAGACTTAGGAAGAGCCACACTCAAGGAGCCAAAGAGCCGCATGTGGCTCGAGAGCCGCAGTTTGCTGACCACGGCCTTAGGCTATTCTTTTTTTAAAAATATATTTTATTGATTTTTTACAGAGAGGAGGGGAGAAGGATAGAGAGTTAGAAACATCAATGAGAGAGAAACATCGATCAGCTGCCTCCTGCACACTCCCTACTGGGGATGTGCCCGCAACCAAGGTACATGCCCTTGACCAGAATCGAACCTGGGACCCTTCAGTCTGCAGGCTGACGCTCTATCCACTGAGCCAAACTGGTAGGGCTCCTTAGGCTATTCTTGGTTGTCATAGTTCCTCCAACTTTGTCTTTGATGACTCTTAGTATCCTGTGCCTTCTGTAACAAATTACATCATACGATGTCCTTAGGTTTTTAGACACATCCACAAAGAAATGGCTGCAGCTTAAGTTCCAGTTTAGGCAAATAGCTGGCTGGTGTGGCTCAGCTGGTTAGAGCATCATCCTGTACACCAAAAGGTGGGGGGTTAAATTCCCAGTCAGGGCACATAACTAGGTTGTGGGTTTGATCCCGTGGGGATGTGCACTGGGGGCAACCGATCAATGTTTCTCTCTCTCTCTCTCCCCCACTCCCTCGTTCTCTCGCGTCCTCTCCCTCTTGCTCTCCCTGAGGGGCACACATTACAAGCCATCCCGTCCCCTTCTTGGTCACCGCAGCCACCACCACCAAACAACTGACACTAATAAGTAACTATTCATCCCCACTGACTCCATTGCTCGCTGCCAGCCGCCTGCCACCCTACCGGGCTCTTTCTTTTATTTTTATTTTTTTGGGGGGGGGGCGTTAATCCTCACCAGAGGATATGTTTCCATTGATTTTTAGAGAGTGAAAGGGAGGGGGAGAGACACACAGAGAGAAACATCGATGTGAGCGAGTTACATCAATTGGCACGTAGACCGATCAGAGCTGAAGGATGCCCTTGACCTGAATCGAACTTGGGACACTTCAGTCCGAGGGCCAAACTGGTTAGGGCTCCAGGACTCTTCCTTGATATGTTTTTCTCACCTCCCACATCAATCCATCAGCTAGCCTCTGTCCACTGCTCTCCACCTCTCTGCTGCCAGTCTGGTCCAGCCATCATGGCCTACTACAATAGTCCCCCAACTGGTCCCTACACCATTCCTACAATCTGTTCCCCACCTAACAACCAATGAGCTATTGAAACAGATGACACTGTTCTACTTAAAGCACTTGAATGGCTTCCTACTGCACATACAAAAGAAACCGAAGTCCTTTCCATGGCATCCAAGGCCCTAACCCAATCTGCCCCCGCCCCCTCTGATTTAATCCCACACACCAGCACCCTCTTCACTTAGCCCCCTTCAGCCAGTAGCTGCTTTTCTTCTAACACGTTCATTCCAGCCTTTGCGCCTCTACACTTGCTATTGCTCCTGCCAGAAAAAAAGTAAGTCAACGCCTCAATATTTAGGTCTCAGCTCCAATATCACGTCCCCAAGAAGGCCATCCCTGACTACCCTACCTAACAGTGCTTCCCTCACCCCTCCAGTCCCTTTATACTGTGTATTGTCTGTCTCCCCCTCTAGTAGTATCCTTAAGAGCAAGGGCCTTATCTGTCTTTTTCACCATCACATTCACGTCCCTTCTCAGCTTTTCACCACCTAAAACAGTACTCGACAAATAGCAGACACTTCTTTAGTTCTGGTTAAATGGATTAACATCCTCATGTGGAATGAATTACTCTCCCCCTTGAAGGATTTGATTTGGGAAGAGTCTCTAGATTTTCCACGACATCTTATCTAACCAACTCCTGAGTACAAGATGACAGCTTTCTTAAAAGCACAGGTCATATATTAATAATGTTACTTGGATGGGAAATACTCATTAAACACCAATAAATAAATGTTAGGAAAATTTTATGCTCTCAACAAGATCCACCTGATCTTGTATTTGAAAGTGTCTGGGCCCTGGCGTGGTGGTTCAGTTGATTAGAGTATCATCCCCATACACCAAGATTTTGGGTTCAATCCCCAGTCAGGGCACATACAAGAATCAATCAATGCATAAATAAGTGGAATAACGAATTGATGTTTCTCTCTCCTCTCTCACTCTCTCTCTCTCTCTCTCCCCCCTCCCCCCTTCCTTTCTCTCTAAAATCAACTTTTAAAAAAAGTCTGGATAAAAATGACAGATATGGGCATAAAGCAAAGAAAACTATTACTCCATTTAGTTCTCCATGTAGCCAAAACCTAATGTCTAGAAATCATACATAATATATAACCCATTTCTTGTCCCTCTGGCAAGAAACTGGTGCCAGGTGACTCTGTGAGAGAAGTGAACCTAATCAGTTCTTCCACAGGCCAAGATGGGACTCTACAACTGGAAGAACTCTCCAATGAATAATTTAAGTCTATTACCGAACTTCTAAAATCCAGTCTCCTTCCCCTTCAAGGTCCTATCCCTCTTAGCCCCACTCTCCCAAACTGTTGGCACTGATAGGTGCCATGCTTCCTTTTAACTGGAAACTTTCTTTTCTTTCTTAGAATTACCTCTCTGAACAGGACTTTGTTTCTGTGTTTGGCATCACAAGAGGGCAATTTGCTGCTCTGCCTGGCTGGAAACAGCTCCAAATGAAGAAAGAAAAGGGGCTTTTCTAAATCAAGCAAGCAGAGACATACTGCAAGAGCACAGAAGAGAGCAGATAGTGCCAATACCAGGAAAGAATTTATCTACCAATTGTTGCCTAACATTCAGCTACTTCATTTAGATAAAACAGGGTCTGCAAATCACAGCATGTTCTCCATTTTTCTCATCCCTGCATTCCTTAGTTGTTATATACTCACTTTTTAATTTCTGTGGCCTTCTGGCTAAAGCCTCAGCGGAAAGCACTAAAACTACATGAGTCTGGAGAAGCCAAAAGTAATACAACAACAAAAAAACAGCAACTAAGTTTAAAGTGTTTAGGCAGAAACCTAAGTTTGTCTCCAATTTTAAGATCAGTATTTCCAAAACCGATTTAACCCACAAATCATTGAAGTTAATTACATGTATATCCCAAAGCCAAAATCCAAATGCCCAGATCTGTATGTGCCAGAGCTTTTAACTTTTCAAATAAAGATACCTATATGAGCAAATGCGAGTTCTGTTCCGTATTATGGTTTTGCCCATTCTAGTGATTATGTGATGTATTGCTGGGAGAAATGTCTCAGGATGAGGGAAGTACAGAGGGACTGCTGGGTGAACTCTCTAGATCACTGGACCACTGTGATTCCTGTTTTTGGCACAAGAATGCCAAAATCTGCCGTACAGCTGTCCAGGAAAACCCCATTATCCAACAGAAAACTAGGGTCATGTGTTATTAATTTCAGTAATGAGGCCAGAACCAGTGTGAATACCACCAGAGAGCCTTCAAAGCACACTACAGAGATCAACAAATGAACCACATTTTCCAGACAACTCTAGGTTTGAGTCAACAATTCCAAAAGAACCCATGTGGCAGGAGTAATGTCACTGGGAAGTTCCAGGATGGAAGCATGGTGCAAAGCATCGAAGAGACTTCCATGTCACAGAAGAAGTAAGATGGGATGAGTGGGAAGTTTTAGGGACACCATAATAAACCTACGAAGGGAGCACGTGGATGCCTATTTTCCCAGAGACTGTCAATAAGGCCCACTTGTTGTTTTCTAAGACACACAAAAGCTGAACCCAGCATTACGCAAACAAGGAAAAGATTCTACTCTCTTTATTATATAACAATTTTATTTAATAACTTTACTCATGATGTATAATTTCATTACAAACACAAATGAAAAACAAATCCTGGGTTTGAAGAGGCTTAGAAAATAACTGCTTTTTGTAATAAAGCCCAGAACTAAGAACAAATGTTTCCTCCTGGCCTAAAGTCTCTGGAACCTATTCAGCCTCTGCTGCCTCTCCCTCTTCGCCACATTCAAACCGCACAAAGTCTACCACAGACACTCCCTGGGGCTGCACATACTGTCCCAGTGTGATAGAGGGATCCAGCAAGTACGGCTGGGACAGCATCTTGGTTTCTGTCTCTCCCCCAGGCTCATCGTCCAGGGAGCCAACAGAGAGAGGGGCCATGCCTACCACATGCTGCCCAAGGCGGCGGCCAAGTTCTTCAAGGTTTGCCTTCCACTCAGATATCTCGCAGATGACCAGGGCCCCGTACTTCCCCAGCACCAGGTTGTGGAGTGAGGGACTGTGCATTGTTCCATGGACATAAGAGCCAACATAGAACCCATTTGGCACCTTCACCCATGCAGCTCGTTTAAGAGTCATGTTTTCTCCCAGTTTCCCTATAAAAAAGCAAAAACAAAAAACATGCTTCCAGAATATGATGCCTGTCGTAGTACCAAATACACAAAGAGGTGGCCAAATTTGGGAGAGTCTTTGGCATTTATACTGTGGATATGCTTTAAGATGGAGCTATCATTTTCAGTTTAAAGAGGAAAAGGTGTGTACAGGGAGGAGGCAGAGAAAACAGAGAGCACCTTTATTGAGCGCCAACTATGTGCCAGGCAGGCTAAATTTAAAAGCATAGGCTATGCCCTGGCCAGTGTGCTCAATGGTTAGAGCATTGGCCCGCACACTGAAGGATCTCGGGTTTGATTCAGGTCAAGGAGACACACCTGGGTTGCAGGTTTGACCCCCAGCCCCAGTTGGGGTGCATACGTGAGGCAATCAATCAATGTGTCTCTTTCACATCTGTTTCTCTTTCTTCTCCCCCCTCCCTTTCCTCCCTCCCACTCTCTCTAAAATTCAATGAAAAAAATATCCTCCAGTATTCACAAATAAAAATAAAAACTTAAAAAATAAGCTATGGCCCTAACCGGTTTGGCTCAGTGGAGAGCATCGGCCTGTGGACTCAAGGGTCCCAGGTTCAATTCCGGTCAAGGGCATGTACCTTGGTTGCAGGCACATAACCTACCAGCTGCAGGAGGCAGCTGATCGATGTTTCTCTATCATCGATGTTTCTGACTCTCTCTATCCTTCTCCCTTCCTCTCTGTAAAAAAATCAATAAAATACATTTTTTTAAAAAAATTAAATAAGATATGGTGTCACACAGATCCTGGACTCAGGTCTCAGTTCTGCCTCTTACCAGCTATATGACCTTAGGAAAGTAACTTAATGATATAACTCCATTTACTAATTTATCAAGCCTTAGTTGCTTCATGTATAAAATGGAGATACCACTTAACCTGAAATCAGGATTATTGGGAGAAATAATACATATAAAAGCACTTATTATATAGTGAGCACTCAAATGCTGGCTACTGTTTTAAACATAGGCTTATGCAGCTTAAGTAACCTACCAGCCAAGGTCACATGGCTAATACATGGCAGACTGGAATTAAAACTTAGATCTGACTCCAAAGCAATTGTTTTTTCCCACCAAATTACCATCCCTCCCAAATGCCACCATAACTGACACAGACAACTCCTGATTATCCATTGTATCAGGGAAAAGTCCACAACTAAAAGCCCCAGAAAATCCAAAACCCTGTGTCATCTCATAGTTTCAACTTCCTCTCATCAAAACAAAATTTTTTTTAAATCACATTTTAAGAGGCCCTTATGAGAACCAAAATGGATTTCAGTTTTCCCCTTTTTCTTAGGATGCTTTACTGTCTAAGAGAAGTCCAAATAAGCCAAAAGGTTGGGAAGGGTAAAAGAATAAACAAAGGGGTCTGGATAAATATCCCTGAATTAGCCATAAGTTATATATAAAAGTCACAAAAGGGAGTATCCAGAAACCAGAAAGAATCTTACACAGCTCAAAATATCTACCCAATAGTTAATTCCCAGACATTAACAAGCGGCTGAAAAACCTAGTTCTTCCAGAATTTCTTAATTAGCTCCAAATACAGCTGTCTGCCTGGTTTCTCATCTATGACTCACTGAAACATTGTACATACTTCAAGACGACCTGATAGAAACTGATGCCTTGACTGGAAATGTAAGATGAGCAATAAATTCCCAGCAAGCTCAAACCCCAGCCTTACTTCCCTCCCTCCATCAAGGTCACCTAGGGAGAAGGTAAAATCCCCACTAGTCCCACCACAATGATCCAGACCCGGTTCCTATAGCTGTGGGCTCTGAGAGACTGTACCTTCACAAGTTCAGGATCCAATGTTTTTAAAGGAGAGACCAAATTCCTAAAAATGATGGCCCTAAATTTTCCTGGGTCCCTTTATAAAGAAGGTGAAATGACCTCTGATGTATTATTTCCCCAGAGTAGTCAACAGATGTCACAAGGCCATCTCTGCCTAAAGACATGCTTTGTTTGGTCAGCACAGTGATGCATCCAAGTGGTAAAATCATTTTATTAATTGCAAACAGATAAAAACTGAGATTTTTGTGTTCAAATCTAAATTCCTTGAAAGAAGCTTTAAAACTCTGATGACACCAGAGCCCCATTTCCCCCAGGTTAACAACTGGCTAGCGCTTGGCAATGGTTCTCTTCAGCAGAGTGTGAGCTTTTCAGTCCTACTGCTCCCTGATGTCTAACACACAATCCACTGAGCACATTCATATTATCTGATCCTTTTAGGCACATGAGCTTGTAATTCTTCATCTAGATTTGGAGGAATACCAAAGATACCAAGAGATCCAGTTCTTCATTTCTAGTTTCCAGATCCTTACAAATACTCACCAATTGCTAAGGCCAGCTGATCCTTGAGAGAGCCTTTCCTCTCAGGCCCAAAGGGAAGTTCAGAGAGCTCAGAGGAGTTCAAGAAGCCCTAAGTGCACACACACACAAAACAAACATTAATCAGTTTTGTGCTACTCAAATTATCAAAAACTAGGCAAATATAGCTTATTTCTCAGAAAATGATATGACAACTAAATATAGCTGATATTTTCATTAAGCCAAGGATGTTAAAAATTGACAACAGTTCCATTTTTATAAGTATTTTATTCTATCACTCCACGACCCCAATTCCATCCCACTCCTATCTTCTGGCCTTTTTCTTTTAAAAAAAATATATTTTGTTAGAGAGAGAGAAAAACATCAATGTGAGAGCAGAACATCAACTGGCTGCCTCCTGTACACCCCCTACCAGAGATCTAGCTGGAAACCTTTTGGTGCATGGGACAAAGCTCAACCAACTGAGCCACACCGGCCAAGCTGGCCTAACTTCTTAAAATGTAGTTTCCTAGATATCAGGAATAATATTTTCATATCAATCATAACATTTTAAAGCTTAAAAGGTTTGTGAGTCCTAGCCAGTTCAGCTCAGTGGATAGAGCATCAGCCCGTGGACTGAAGAGTCGAGGCTCCATCAGGTCAAGGGTACGGACCTCAGTTGCAGGCTCGATCCCTGGCACCAGTAGGGGTGCATGCAGGAAGCAACTAATCGATGTGTCTCTCACATCGTGTTTCTCTCTCTCTGTCTCTCCTCCTACCTTTCACTCTCTCTAAAAAAATCAATGGAAAAATATCCTTGGGTTAGGTTTAACAAAAAAAACAAAAACAAAAAGGCTTGCAGATTGTTAATTGTTAATGCATAACAGTACAAATTCAAAGGAGGAGAACTGGACAATAGCTCACAAAACTACAATCCTATTTCTAGGAATTTACCCTGGCAATACACTTCCAATAATATGAGTGTACATATTCAGTGAGCAATTATGTCTAATAATAAAATACTGGAAACAGCCTAATGCCTAAACCTAAGAGAAGACTGGTTGAATAAACCACAGCTCAGCCATACAATGGTATACTATGCAACTGAAAAAAGAAAAAAAGGAGAGCTCCATGAGCTGCTATGCAGTATTTCTAGCTATATTAAATGAAAAAAATAAATTTAAAGAGCATATACAAATTATACCACCAGTTGTATAAAAGGTATTTTTGTTGTTGTTTTTTAAATTTTATATATATATATATTTATTGATTTCAGAGAGGGAGAGGGAGAGAGAGAAACATCAGTGATGAAAGAATCATCGATTGGCTGCCTCCTGCATGCCCCCTACTGGGGATTGAGCCTGCAACCATGTGCCCTTGACCAGAATCAAACCCAGGACCCTTTAGTCTGCAGGCCGACACTCTATCCACTGAGACAAACCAGCCAGGGTAAGAGGTATTTGTATAAATATGCTTATTTTTGTGAAAAGACATAAAGGATAACCATAAACCAATAAATCTGCTTATCTATAGGAGTGGATAGGAAATGGGGTAGAAAGGAGATAAGAGGCAGTAAGGTGTGTGTGTGTGTGTGTGTGTGTGTGTGTGTGTGTGTAATCCAAGTAACTTTCAATACAGTTCTTTGACCACATAACTTCAATGTAAAGACAAAAAAAAATCAAAGAAATCTTGAACTCCTTAGCAAGTTTGTTATTTGCAGTGGTCAGGTATAGTAACTCTGGAACAATTTGGTGTGTATTATAACATCGAGTAAATAAGTAAACATATCAAAGTTGCTAGGAGCCAATGTACTCACTATGAGAAAGGGAACATAAAAAGACAGAATGGGGGGAAGAAAAAGGAAGAACCCTGTGGTGCAGGACTAGAATTGAAGTATAAATTCTAATCTACACACACACACACATACATCCTGTCTGCTAAAAGAACGGAGAAGCAATGACATCTCAGTAGAAATAAATATACCTAGATCTTGGTTTCTCAAAACCATTCCCCCACTAAAAGGGATCAGGATTCCTTAGAGAAGTAAACAATTCCATGTTTGGAGCAAGGAAAGCATGACATAAGTCCAGAATATCTTGTATGCCAAAAAAAGTAAAGAAACACTCATAAAATAATGAGGATATATCAAAGGACAATGGAGCCAGCCTGCACAGGTTTGCCTTGCACTGGCCAAATCCAGGAATAATTTGAGCATCAAAATAAATAATGCTTTAAAAACCCTCTTGGCCGAAACCGGTTTGGCTCAGTGGATGGAGCGTCGGCCTGCGGACTGAAAGGTCCCAGGTTCGATTCCGGTCAAGGGCATGTACCTGGGTTGCGGGCACATCCCCAGTAAGAGATGTGCAGGAGGCAGCTGATCGATGTTTCTCTCTCATCGATGTTTCTAACTCTCTATCTCTTTCCCTTCCTCTCTGTAAAAAATCAATAAAATATATTTAAAAAAAAAAAAACCCTCTTGATTTACATTTCGAATTCCCCACTCTGCTATCAAATGCCGAGACACCCAAATTCTTTTGAGAATATTTTTAACCTTTCAAACATTTTAACCCCTAAGCATATTTATAGTGCTATTCAAACTTTTCTAAAATCTAAACAAAGCAGGAACATTTTCTTTTGCCTTTTTTTTTGAGAGGTAAATAACACTAAGCAAATTTCTAGCAAAGAGATGGAACCATAACAGCAGGACAATATTTTTCTAATTATAGATTTTCATATTTGATTGGATGTAATAATTGCTATGATCAAAGATGCTTGGGGAATGCTGGATTAAACAGATTTCCTTACTGCAGAACCACTCAGAGATCTGAAATATGTTAGCAGGCATGGAATCCACCAAAAATAAATGTATAAATAAATAATTATACAATGAATTGTAGCTTGCTGTATAAAGTAAGAATCCATGAATCAATGTTGCACTAAACAAAGGGATAAGTTTCTTACAGTAGAATGTCAACAAAATTAATATATATATAAAACAAATTATAAGTTAAAAAAATTACCCTTATGCAACTATCATAGTAATAACTGATCTGCCAAGAATCATCAATGGATGCTAAAACTATTAGGCAAAAGTTTTTCGTGTGTGTTGTTGTTTTAAATATATTTTTATTTATTTCAGAGAGGGAGGGAGGAGGGAAGGGAGACAGAAACATCAATGATGACAGGGAATCATTGACTGGCTACCTCCTGCACGCCCCACACTGGAGATCGAGCCTGCAATCCGGGCATGTGCCCCAATCAGGAATCGAACCATGATCTCCTGGTTCATAGGTCGACGCTCAGCCCAGGCTAAAGTTTTTTGGAAGCTGGATGTTTATACAGTCTCAAGGAACCTCCCACACAGATAAGTTGTTAATTACAAAGAGGAACATGGTAACTTCACAGTGGAGAAATCTGGCAGAAACTATCTTAACCGAGAGATCAAAATTAGCATCAGTAATGGGACCAACAGTCATTATGTACCTCCTGATATGATGTTCTGAGAAAAATACAGGATAATTTATTTACTATTCCTACAAAAATCCATATTGTGAGTCTAAATAAGAAGAAACATCAAACCCAAATTGAAGGACATTCTACAAAACTGTCCTGTACTCTTCAAAAATGTCAATGTAGTCTGGCTAGTGTGGCTCAGTGGTTGAGCGCTGACCCATGAACCAGGAGTTCACAGTTCAATTCTTGGTCAGAGCACATGCCTGCGTTGGGGCTCAATCCCCAGCGTGGGACATGCAGGAGGCAGCCGATCAATGATTCTCTCTCATGATTGGTGTTTCTATCTCTCTCTCTCTCTCCCTCTCCCTTTCTCTCTGAAATCAATAAAAATATATTTAAAAAGAAAAAGTAAATGTAATGAAAGATAAAGAAAGGAAACTGAACAGACATGATAACTAAAAATCGCATTGGTAACAATAGATATATACAAACTAATAAAGCAAATGAGGCAAAATGTTAACAAATGGTGACTTTGGATAAAAACCCACCATAGTTTACTGTAGAATACTGGCAACTTTCCTGTAAGCTTGAATTTTTTTCAAAATAAAAGTTTTAAAAATTAAAGACCAAAAGTGGAAAAAAGGAAATAAAGCTAAAGGAACCAAAGTCTCTTATTACAGATAATGAAACAGAAACACAGTAAATGAATGGCTCAGGGTTACAAATAGAATCAATGGCAAAGTCAAGATTAGAATTTATAGTTCAAGTGAATCATCTACTCAATACAATTCTAAAAAATAATCTCAATGCAATTTTCTGTATAATGTGACTATTTAATGCCAGTTACAATCAGCATTTACCATGAGATCTCAAGAAAAGGACAAATAGGAAGAGAAAAATGGTAGTACTAAATTTTTAAAAAATTGTGCAACCAGTCGGTTTATTTTTGCCTTGAATCAAAGGCTTTAAATAAGCTTGAATCAAAGGCAAATATATCATTCCTTCCTTGATCCTCCTATGAACAAAAATAACCTTATTCTTCTAAATTATGCCTTCTCCAATATCTTTTGTTTGTTTGTTTTGTTTTGTTTTGTTTTATACAGAGAGGAAGGGAAAGGAAAAGAGAAAGTATTTACAGAAACATTGCTGTGAGAGTGGAACATCAATCTGCTGCCTCTTGCACGTCCCCTACCAGGAATCAAGCGGAGAAACTCAGGCATGTGCCCTGACCAGGAATTGAGCCTGTAACCAACGTCTTGGTGCATGGGATGATGTCCAACCCATCGAGCCACACAGGCCAGAGCTCCAATATCTTTATTTAAGAACCCTTTCCTCAGGTCAGATTTCTGAATACAAATCTGCACCTGATTTGACTGACTCCACCCCACTGGCATTCATTCATTCATTCAACACAGATTTGCTGAGCCTCAGCTAAGTGCTGGGCCCACTTCTCTTTCACCAGAGACATAGTGGTGAGAAGACAACTCCCCTGCCTCACGAAGCTTGCGTTCTATTGGGAAAGACAGACACATACGTGTAAGTAAAAATGTAAAACATAAGCACTATAACAAAAAAATGTAAATGAAATAAGACCACAGGAGGAAGGGTACACCTCTCCAAAGAGGTAACATTTAAGCAGAGACAAGAAGGGAGACATGAGACTGTCTGAAAAAGCAAACAACGAAGACTCTAAAGAGGGGAGGTGGAGTGGAACAAATCCAGCATGTTGGAGACAACACATTGGAGACCCCAAAACTCACTTTACTGTAAGTGGAAAGTTGATCCTTTAGGCTCTGACAATGCAACATGGTTCCAAGGGCTACTTGCTGGACCAACTGTTGAAATTTTAGATTTCTTGCAACAAAATCTGTCTCACAGTTTACCTGTAGGAACAAATTGATGTTGCTGTATAAGCTATTTACTGATAGTTTCCACAAGTGCCTTAAGGTTGGAGAGTAAACAAGGTATTGACAGAACAAGCTGTAGACTCAACAAAGCAGAAATAAATGACCCCAGAACTTTAAATCTGCAGTTTCTCTCCTAGCTGAGGCCAAAAGCTGAATTAGTGATTCCCGCCGCATCCCTTAGTTAGCAATGACTTGCACATTCAGAAGATGGTCCACAATGTCCCCAAACACTCACTCGCCTGTGGCTGCGTGCCTTAATCAACTGATTCTCCAGCCTCCCCCAACTACAAACCAGTTTTGTTATCAGCTTATTTATCTCCTTCTCTCACTCTAAACCAGTGGTCGGCAAACTGCAGCTCGCAAGCCACATGCGGCTCTTTGGCCCCTTCTGTGTGGCTCTTCCACAAAATACCATGTGCGGGCACGCACGTACAGTACGACTGAAACGTCATGGCCCATGCGCAGAAGTCGGTATTTTGTGGAAGAGCCACACTCAAGGGGCCAAAGAGCCGCATGTGGCTCGAGAGCCACAGTTTGCCGACCACTGCTCTAAACTCTAATCCCACTCTAATCCAAATCTGATTCTTCATTAATTGTGGCCCCCAAATTCTAAAACAGCTACTCTCTATCCATCAACTAATGAATATAATTCCTAGCTTTAAAATCAAACTGTTCCAGGAAACCATCAGTGACAAGGTATAAGGCTACACCAGACTGACATTTAGGAGTAATATTCTAGACTGCTAGGTCTTTTCTCATCAACACACCTGTGAATTTCTATACTTAAATGAATATACAGCTAGTAACTGTGGTCTCATGGGTTCAATTCAACTACCCTTTGTGGCTCTCAAACACTTATTCTTTCAGAATGCCAACAATCTACCACAAAGCCGTACACTGAAGGGGCAGCTGTTCCTGGTATTTGGAATTCTGGACATCTCACCTCAACTAACACAGTCGAGTTTCCTTCCTGCAGCAGCCCGATCAGACCTTCTTTAGTCTTCCTTCCATGGAGCTTGGCAGCTTTGCCCCAGCCCTCCTTCTGGGCCTGCTCATGAAGCCAGCTCTCTGCCTACAAATTGAAAAGGAAAAGGGCAGATGACAAAGTCACAGAATTTAGAACTGAACGGGGCTCTAAACTATATGCAGGTCCCCTGACTCCTCCTGCTTCCCTTCAATCCCATAAGAGAAACTGGAGTAACCTATGGCAGCCTATGGCTACATGCCAAACACCCAGCATTGTGCCTGGTGCTTTGGATAAACCTAATCCTCACCACGACCCTACGGGGCGGATAGTGGTATTTTCACTGCGTATATATATACAAGAGCAATGCAACTGTGAAAGATTAAGTGAGATGTCCAGGGTCACAGGGGTAGCGTTGAGGATTTTAATCCCGGTCCGTCTGACTCCAAAGCTCACACAAGCCCTTTCAGCTCTCAGCAGCAGGAAGCGGCATTGCCGTTTTGCAAGATGTAAGGTTTGTTAAGCCTGGGATCCTGAATCAATTGCTTCCCAATAGGACGGAGTCAACGGCTGAGGCTGTCACTTAAGTCAGAATCCTACCTAGAGGTCGGCGTTAGGAGTCGCTGGGCAGAAGTCTGACTTCCACGCTCCCCAGCGCGACCGCCCGGGCAGACGGACCTCCGCCCCAGGCCCGTCCCGGTCCCCTGCCCGCCCCGCACACCTGTCTGAGATCCCCGCCGCAAGTCTCCAGGGCTTTCTTGCAGTTCACAAAGGAATAGCCCGTTTTCCGCCGCAACTTCATGAGCAGATCCTTGCTGGAGGCCGAGGACAGCCAGTGCCCCGCGTGAAAGGTGTGCCATGGCTGCGGCGACTGAAGCGGAAGGGGCAAGAAAAAGGGGTGAGAAGCACAACAACTCGGCGAGGTGTTTCGGGGGCCGAAAGCACGTCCGCAGCGAGGTGACCTGGGGAGGGACTGGGGCCCGGGGATGGGGGAAGGCAGCGGCGGAAGCTGGACCGCGAAGAGGCCAGGAGGTGGGGGGAAAGGGTGGGGTGCAGTCTGAAAGGGGGTCGGAGGTAGGGTACCCGGGAGACCTGCTTTCCTTGCGGGGGGCCAAGACCCCTCACCGGACAGCTCCCGGTCCGTGCGACCAGACAGAGGCGCAGTGACCGCAGCAGCGACATCTCTCCGGCCGCCGCACGTTGCTGCGGGTGCGGCGCACTGATGAGGCCACGGGCCTACGGCGTGGCGGCAGGGCCAAACCTCTCCGCCGGGATGTGCCGAACGGGATGCCGCCACCTGCTGGCCGGAGGGCGCACCCTCACCTCCCCCACTGGGCTTATTGAGATGACTTTTCAGAACGGAATTGCTACCCCCAGGTGAAATAGGAAACCATGAGACAAAGTCGTCACAAAGTAACAAGACAAGACATGTGGTAACACTTTGTTTCTTTATTTCCAATGCTCTTTCATATTCAGTATCCATTTATGAATGGGACAAAATTGTGAGGTAGGTGGGTGGGTTCAGAAATTTGCCAGAGGTCACCTGGGAAAGGTAGGGGCATGGTCCCTTCAACAAACTCAATAAATATTTGTTGAATGAGCAAAATATTTATTGAACACTAAATAAATATAAGTGTGCCAGGAACTATGCTAGGCTTCAGGGAATTAGAGTAATAAACTACAGCCCTACCCTCCCACGCAATCTATCTAACGGTGAGAAAATAGGGAGCAGACACATGACCACCCAAGACAAGGTAAGTCTCATAAGATGAACAGTTAAAGGGTGTCAAAGGAGAAAGAAATCACATCCCAACAGAGGGCTCAGGAAAAGCTTTTTTTCAGGATAGAGGCTAAGAGTAGTAAAGATTTTGACCGATAGAAATAGCCCTTCCAGGGAAGGAATCATCAAAGAGACTGAAGAAAGAAGTCAGGGAAGCTTGGTGTAGATTTAGGGAACAAAGAGAAGACTTTTGGCCCGAGGTTGCAATACATTTGGAAACAAGCAGGAAATGAAGTAGAGGGTGATTTGGGATTAACTAGGATAGACTGAGTACCAAGCAGAGGAGCTTACTCTTGCTTCTGTAGGCAGCAGCAGAAGCAAATCAGGGATGCTTTTGGAAAAGTTGGAGACCAGGAGGCCAGAGGAAGTGATATGTGGCCCGAGGAGTAAGGATAGCCCCAACCAGAGTTACCACAGTGGGAAGAGAAAAGAGATGAAGGCAAAACATATTAGGAAGGAAGGACTGACAGGGTCTAGACACCTAAAGAAAAATAAAGAGAAGAACCAAGTACTTAGCGATCAGGACCCCGACTCCAAAAAGAATGAAGAAGGTACAGGCCAAAGGACAGCTCTGCTTCCTACCCCCAGCTTCAGGCCTGGGAGGACCTGACCCAGGTAGAGCCATGGTCCCACCAGACTATCTCTAGAAGCAAGAAGTGGGTGGTCTGAGGCTTCTTACTTCCCCGCACCCCAACAAAAGCCTGAGTTCTTTGGATGTAGAAGAGATCTTTAATGCTCGTGTTTCTTTCCCTTAAAAAAAAAATTCCAGTAGAATCTGGCCAAATACATATATTCTGTATAAAAAGACAATAGCAGGACTGGACGTGATCAGTGACCGTCTCTCTGCAGCCACTGTTCTCACATCTCATTTACCTCCCCTTCCCCTCAAAACCCTGGGTACCCTCCCATCACCATCCTTTGCTGAGAACAAGAGCTAGGAACGTCCTTTGTGCTCTAATCCAGCGCTGCTAGGGCTCTAGGATTCGTAGCCAGCAGGCACCTCCCTGTACCTGCCCAAAAGTACCTGGGGAAACTAAGAGGGAAGGAGGAGAGAGAGAGGCAAGGGAAATCCGTCCTTTTTGGTCCTTATGTTTCTGGCTTTGGAGATATGGCAGTTCCTTCATTAGGACAAGGGGTCCGGAGGAGCAGAAGGATGACATCAAACAGGTCTTCGTTCCCTGTGCCTGGCCCTATAGATGTTGACATTCTCATCCTCATCCCGCTGGGCCAGCTCCAGTTGGAAATGCTGGGGCAGGAGGTACTGAAAGAAGCTCTCTGTCCCATGCTCCTCTCTCATCTTGGAGGCCAGATAGATGGTGCCATGGGGCCCGCACAGGTGTTGGAGTGTCCCCAGCAGCAGTGGGAAGGTGGACTCCCGATACACAATATCAGCCCCCAGCACCAGGTCATAGTCGCCAGGGAAGACATGCTGGTCAATCCCCCAGGACAAAGCGCGGACCTGGGCCCGGCCTCCAGCTGGCACGTTGGCCTGGACGTTGCCCTGGATCTGTTCTAGGGCCAGGGGCAGGTCAGTGATGGTAACATCCCCCCCTGAGAGAGAGAGGAAGGAGGAGAAATGAAAGTCAGAGGGACCAACAAAGGGGTCTCAGCTCCTGCCCAGAAGGTCCAGAGGCCTCAGAGCCTGGAGGACAATGTCTTGACAGTCGAAGTCCACCCTTTGGCTTCAGTTGCACTAACCTCCACCTTACCCACCGCCATTCTCATTGCTCTACATTCTACAACATCAACATTCTCTCTGAGCTAATCTTCAACCTCTCTGCTCAAAACACAACAATCATATGTCAGCAGAAGCCTGGGCAGCACTAAGCTGGAGACGGGCTATGCGCCCACCCCCTACTGCCTCGGACCAGCTGCCGAGGCCTGGAAAGCTCCCAGAAGACGTGCCCTCAGTGAGCCTTAAAGGACAAGTCAGGTGGAGCTTTCCACACAGGGAACTGAGAGTACAAAGGCCTGGTGGTGAGAGCATGGAGTATTCAAGGAAGGCTGGATATTAGATAATGTGGAAGGGAGGAGAAAAGTGTCAAGACATGAAAGTAAAGAGAAAAATGATGACATGCTAAGGAGATTCAGGCTTGATCCTAAAGGCAATGGGGGTTTTTTGTTGTTGTTGTTTTTTAAAAAATATATTTTTATTGATTTCAGAGAGGAAGGGAGAGGGAAAGAGATAGAAACATCAATAATGAGAATCACTGATCGGCTGCCTCCTGCACACCCCCTACTGGGGATAGAGCCTGCAACCCGGGCATGTGATGTGCCCTTGACCGGAATCGAACTCGGGACCCTTCAGTCCGCAGGCCGACGCTCTATCCACTGAGCCAAACCAGCTAGGGCAGCGCAATAGGTTTTCAATATAGAAGTAGGGGGGTGCAGATAATCAAACTAGCATCTCAGAAAGCTTCATTCATGCAATAAATATATGTATTGAGCATCTAAGGTCCGGGGACACAGCGGTGAGCAAGACAAAACCTCAGTCTTCCTAGAGGTAGAGACACACTAAGTACTGCAAGACTCTTTAATCATAACCATGATGACCATTATAGAAACAGCAAGTATTAAGAATTCATTCATTCATTTATGTTGATTATGTGCCTGTATGCCAGGTGCTGCAAACACAGCAGTAAACCAATCAAGAATCCCACTGATGGAGCTTACAGTCTAGTGGCAAGAAATAGACAACAAACAAAACATAAAATACACTGCACAAGAGATGGTAGTGAGTGCGGTGGTGAAGGACGCATCAAGCAGGGGAGGAGAATAAGAACTGCTTGTGGGACAGGCAGGGAATGTAGTTTTCAATGGGATGGTTAGGGAAAGTCTTACTGAAGAGATGCATTTGGGCAAAGAAAGATGGAAGTGACGGAGCAAACCACATGGATCTCTCAGGCTAAAATGTACCAAATGAGGGACCACAGAGTGCAAAGACCTTGAGGCAGGAGGTGCCTGGCAGGCCTGAGGAGCAGCAGGAAGGCCAGTGGCTGGAGCAGAGTAAGTGAGGGAAAAAAAAGTGGGGGCCGGATTCTAAACAGGGCCTTTTCAGGAGACTGTAAGAAATTTGGCTTTCACTCTGGCTGAGATAGGAGGCTACTGGATAATTTTAAATGGAAGAAGGAAATACACTGAGTTATGCTTTTAAAGGATTACTCTGGCTGCTGGGGTAAGAAAAGACGGCAGAGTGGCAAGGTCAGAAGCAATGATGATCATGGTTTGAACCAGGGCAGTAGCAATGTCTAACAAGTGGTTGATCCTGAATATATTTTAAAGGTAGTCAACAGAATTTGCTGACAGATTAGATATGAAATACGAGAGAGAGAGAGAGAGAGAGAGAGAGAGAGAGAGAGAGAGAGAGAGAAAGAAATTGAGCCTGGCACTAAGATGTTTAGCCTGACCAACTAGAAGACTGAACTGCCATTCATTTAGATGAGGAAGATTGCAGGAGGAGAGGAGCAGGATTGGGCAGGAAGATCATGAGTCTGTTTCTGGACACATTAAATTTAAGATGTCCCTCAGACAAGCACATGATATCCCAGGAGAGGAGATTACACAAACAAGTCTGAACAAGGTAGAAATGGGCCAGAGAGTCATCAGCATAGAAAGGGTATTTAAAGCCATGACATGATAGGATTGCTTGGGCGTGAGAGCAGGCAGAACAGGGAAGGGCTCACGGCACTTCTCCTGAGCCCTGGGACACTCAAATTATCAGTTGAAAAGGAACCAACAAAAGAGAATGGAAAAGAATACCAGTGAGGTGGGCAGAAACTAGAAGAGTGGTGCCCTGGAAACCAAAGGAAGTGCTTCAAGGAGGAAGAAGAGTCAAATGCTGCAAAGTTAAGAAAGGTGGGCTCCTAACTGACTCCTGTGTTTAACTGCATGGAGTTGGGAATGAGGCTCACAGCTTTGACTAGAGCAGCTGGGATGGATGGGGCATGGAGGGGATGTCTCAAAATGGACTGAGGAAATAATAGCAAGAGGGGAACTACAGACAGGGAATATTCATTCTTGAGGAATTTTGTTATAGAAGAGAAATGGGGTAGTGCCTGGAGGGATATGTAGAATCTAGAGTTTTTCTGAAATAGGAGAAATCACAATATATTTTGTACATTATACACATACACACACACACACACACACACACACACACAGAATGAACCAGAAAGAAGGAAAATCTGATAATTCATGAGAGATGTGGACGGAGAAGTGTTTACTGGAACAATATCTTGGAATAGATGAGAAGGTTTGGTGTCTCCTGAAAAGTGGAGAGCTTGACCTTAGCTAAGAGCATAACAGTCACTCATGGTACACACACAACAGGAGAGAAGGTAGCACATACAGACCCAGATACAGGTAGGTGAATAGATCATGTGGACTTTTTCTATGAGAAAATAGAAGCAATCAGAAGAGATAGGAAACAAAGTCATCAGCTGAGAGTGAAGACGGGGAGGAAGCATT